TATAATCTAAATTCGTAGTAAATTGACGAGGTAAAAGTTGTAAGTGTTATAGGATAGTCATATTATTTATGTTGTGAGTTGTATTGTTTCAAAAGTTGAATTGCATTTTTACGTTACTTTGCTTGTAATAAAATCAGACTGTACAAAAAAATTTGAACTGAACTAACAATGTCTACAAAGTGTGTAAAATGCATAGTTGTAAAAACAAAAGAAGGCGTAAACCAAACTGTTATCATTGATAATATTTATTTCACGCTAAATGTGTTAATATTGATGAAGAAATAGTGTCGATACTGAACAGTGAAAATAGCATTAAATGGTTTTGTGAAAAATGTCTGAAAGCCCAAGATAATACAAAGGAATTGGTAAAGTCAGTTGTAAACAATTTTCATGAGAAAATTGAAGAAATAAACATTGCTGTTCAGACTCAGTTAGAAACAATTAAAACCATGATCACTAAAAATGATGATAATTTGACTGTGTTGGAAAAACAGGATATAAAAATGGTCGATGAGATTTGCAACCTCAAAAGTGACTTGAAAGCTTCATGGGCGAACATCGTTGAGAAAAACATTACAAAAAATGTAGAGATTATAAATAATCAGGTCAAAAACGTCCAAAGGACCTTGAACGAAGCCAGTGAAATAAAAGAAAGAGAAAGGAATCTAGTGATTTTCAACTTGCCAGAGAAAGAAAATCAAAACGATCGTGAACTTGTGATGAAGATATTCAAGCACATTTCAAAAGACATGTCAGATAATGGTATTGAGAAGGTCTTTAGATTGGGTCAAAAGAATGAATCGGTGATTCGTCCGGTCTTGATAAAGTTAGATAGTCTAGGTACGAAGGGGGATCTTTTAAAGCATGCTTCTAAAATTAGGTCATTGGAAGATAACTTAAAGAACATCAGATTGTGTAATGATTTGACGCGCGAGTAAAGGAGTGAACTGAAGAATTTGGTGACTGATGCTAAAGCGAAAGAGGCGGCATGTCAACAAAGTTTTTTATACAGAGTAAGGGGGACGGTTGGAAGATCATAAAGTTCAGGAAGGGGACGGAAAATTAGATGATTTGGGTAAAAATGAAGGTTCATCAAACGGCTTTGTCAATAGATTGCTGAGCTTTGATGACAATTTCAATGATGGTAAAATATGCCTAGGACTATTAAATATCAGATCAATTGTATCCAAATCAAGTGATGTGTATGAACTCCTGGTTCATGGACTAGATGTGTTAGTGTTAACCGAAACATGGCATGGACATCAAAATGATATTTCTGTAAAATCGGCAATGCCTGACGGGTACAGTTATGTTGACTATGTCAGAAAACATGATCCATATCATGGAGAATTGATAATCTATTATATATATATATATATATATATATATATATATATATATATATATATATATATATATGTATAAATATATATATTGGTAATAGACCATAATTTTTACAATATTCTATAAATTCTACCGAATGTTTGGCGTTAATATGTTTGTAGCTCGTTTTTTCAATTTTTCTCACTAAAGTTTTTTGGTGAACGTTTAATTTATTAAAATTTAAAAAAAAACTTATTTTCCGAATTCATGCTGCAAATAAGGCCATATTTCGATTCCGAATGAATCATCATCAGTGCTTTCTGCTGTTTATATAGGAAAATACTGACTTTGTCAAAATGAATTTAGATGGAGATTGACTTTGTCAAAGTGAACTTAGATGATGCCAATGCTGATGCCAACTCATTTTTTTTGAAAAGATTGGGGACTAAAAAACTCAATTAGACCTGCATGGTTGATGTTTTGTGATGCTGCTATTAAGTCATTGATTTTTAAAAATGTGAGTTTGAATTTTATGAAGTTGTCATTAGACATGACTTGACTTCTAAACAGCGTCTTGAATTGAAAATAGTGGATGAATCAAAAGAGCTGCAGAACAATGATAAAAATAGTTTTTATACAGGGTGAGGGGCGATCCCGGCAAATGGCGGATCATCCGGTTTCCAAAAGCGAGTGTTGGTTAAATTTTTCATTACATGACAAACTGTTTTTTGGTCTTCTGAATATATGCTTCATTACAAATAAGCATACATATGTTAATGAAATTATTATGATGGATTGGATATTTTGGTTCTGAGACGTGGCATCAGGCGTCTGATGACCCATCCTTCAGGCTAGCTTTGCCACCCAATTATTCCTAAATTGATTTTTGGAGATTAAACGATCCCACACATGGTGGTATTATTGTTTTTTTTTTAAAGTTCCTTTAGAGTCAAAAAAGTTGAGTTAGCTATTTTTTAAACATTTGAGGCTGGTTCTATCAAATTTTTCTTTGGAAGTACATCAATCATTCTTCTGGCGATGTATCGCCCTGGGTCTAGGGCTATTTCATCATTATTTTTTGATGAATTATCATTATTGCTTGATTACATTTTTCTTCTGGCTGACAATATCATTATTGTCGGTGATTTCAACATACATGTTGAGAAATGTGATGATCTAAATACCGTCAAGCTTTTTAACATTTTTTCTTCATTGGATAATAGAATTAATTCACCCACCCATAAATAAGGCGGTATATTAGAATTGGTGGTATCTTCTGACTGTTTAAAGCCATTGTCACGTGATAATGATCCAGCGGGTGTAATTTCAGATCATGATTTTATTAAACTGTCATTTCCTGTTTGTAGTAAAAAGCATTTTTTTGTGAATAAAATGATTCGCTCATGGCACCGCATGTTTTTTACTTGTCAAATGTTAGCAAATGGATGTCATCTAATCGCTTGAATTTAAATAATAGTAAAACACAAATTTTGCCTATTGGCACATGGCAGCAATTGTCTAGAATTAATATTAAGGGTTTATTTTTTTGAAGGGATACGTATTGATTTTTGTACGACTGCTATGATATCTAGACTGCTATCTGGGTATGATATTTAACACAAATATGTCTATGGAGCCACATATTAAGCGTTTTGCTAGAGATTGTTCAAATCAGCTAAGGTTGTTGAAATCAGTAAAACATTCACTTGATGTTCATACACTAAGTTGTCTGGTCCATGCTTTTATACATTATAAAGTGGATTATTGGAATGGCCTATTCTATGGACTGTCACAAAAAGTTATTCAGATGTTGCAGTCCATTAAGAATAGAGCTGCTAAACTTGTTTCTGGACGTTCTAGGTCTGATCATGTCAGCCCCATTTTGAGAGACTTACACTGGCTGCCTGTTAAAAAACGTATTATTTTAAAAATTGCAATGCTTATGTTCAAATGCTTGAATGGTATTGCACCTAGCTATCTAATTGATAGGTGCACTGCACGTCTTGTTCCAGGGCATTTCTACAAATTACGTTCTAATGATCGTGACTTACTTTTTGTGACCCCAACAAATCTTGTTATAGGTTCAAGAAATTTTTCAGTTGTTAGGCCATCTGTATAGAATAGCCTGCTTTTGGAACTGCGTGCTTTGAGGCATTCAATTTTATCCTTCAGGAAGGGACTAAAAACGTTTTTGCGCAATGAGCGCTTTGATTGTTGTTTGTGATCTGTTTCAGCGCCTTTGAGATTTGATGAAAGAGCGCTATATATATATATTGGATTAAGACTGTCAGAAATGCAATATTTCTTTAGCTCAAAAAAATTTTTTGTTTATTTTATGCATGATAGAACAGAAAAGCTTTTTTTGGTATTATCATCATATTATCACTATTTATCATCTTTGTTGTTCTAATTGATATGTTGTGTTTGTGCCTAGATGCTCAAATATATCAATATTTAATATTGTGCCTTTATTCTACTTAGTTAACTCCTTGTTTGTTTAAAGTAAATATTTAGTTTTACAATTATCGACTTCGTTAAATATAACACTTTAACGTGTTTTCATTATCGATGATTCCTCTGTTTTTAAATTTATTTGTAGGAAGAATTCCAATTGCCAGTTGTTGAATATTAATTATTGGATGTCTTTGTTCTATAAGTATTGATTTGGCTAGTCGCAAATTATAATGGTTGTTATTGTAATGTAAGATTTCAACATTGTTGTCCAAGATATGTCTAGTAATTTTAGTTTTGTGTTTCTTTTTTATGTGATTTTTTGTAGCGCCAGTTTGTACGTGCATTGTGAATCTTTTCGATAACTTGGTCGTCGTCATACCACCCCGATTTATTATCATCTCTAGATCCTTTTCTTCTTCTACATTTTTAGTGGTGTGTTTCTAATTTTGAATACATTTTCTGTTCGCTCCCGTGTATATGACTGCGCATTTGTCGGTATTGAACACCATCTGCCATTTCTCGGCCCATTTGTATAGTTTATCCAATATCTTCATCGTTGTCAACAACAGCGCATAAGTGTCATCTGCAAATTTTGAAATTTTAGACTTTATCCCATAATCAATATCGTTAATATATATTACAAATAGCAGAAGAGGTTCCATTACGGATCCTCAAAGGACTTTCTCTCTATAAGATAAAAATGAATAAACGAGTAGTAAAAATCTTTGATTTCTATATAAATACTTTTAAAATGTATGATAATAATACGGTACGAACTATTGAAAAACTGAACCAGAAAATGCAGTGATATTTTTTAATAATTATATTTACGATAGTCTCAACCCTAATTATATATATATATATGTATGTATATATCAGACTGTCGTATATACAGTTATTAAGAAATATTACCGCATTTTCCGCATTGTTGAGTCAACCACACATCATACACATTGCAAATGATAGGCGGGGATCTTTTTGTATTCGAACCCAGTCTCTGTAGCGGCAAGACCAGGCACTTTTAACTATTGAGCCATCACGCCATGAAAAATTGAGTCATCATGAAAAAGCAAATGCAGATTTAGCAAAGAGTGTTTAACACGAGTTAAGAAGAAGTGAGAACAAGAAGTGTTTAGGTTCAATTAATATATCTGATAAGTGCTTAGGGAATAATTTAGATTGGGACTTATACACAAACGTGCTGAATTTAGGCTTCTTACCTCATGCGGCGTTTTGACCCACGTTACTCAACGTCAAGGCGTGGTTCAAATGAAGACAAAGCGACACGTAGTGGTGAAGAAACTTACAAAGAGTTTCTGAATTTTGTCACATAATTCTAGTTTTAATTTTACAAATTAAATGGTTCAAATAGCCGGCACTGGTCGGCGGACCACCACTTTGAAAAGCACTGACTTAAAGGATAGAGCGTAGAATCAGGAAGACCGTAGTAGAGCGAGTTACAATAATCAATCCTAGATAAAACTAAAAAAAATTAAATTATGAAAACCTTATTCATTCCAAATAATAACATTTAGAACAAACCGAGACTTATCATTTAATTCTGTTCTACTCTCTACTATTCGATCTAGGTTGCCAAGGTTCAATTTATTTTTTCTAACAAATGATCCTGGTGTGCCATTGCACGTTTTTGTTTTTGTGTTCGCTCTGATTGTTTTCATCCAGCTCGCCGGGTAGAGTCTCGTTTGAATTTGTATCGAGGTTTGTTTTGCCATTGAGGTAATTCTATAGTTCAATCTACTACTAATTTAAACACACGTTAAGTTTTGTGCCCAACGCAATTAAAGATGCAATCTATTGCCGTAAAAAAGTTATTTTATTTAATTTATCTAATATTATTCATTAATAATGCTTAACCAGCTTAACAGTTAAAAAAACTAACTAACGCTACCATAACAAACTGAAACTCTAACGTAAAAAAATAACATTACCTCCAGAACACCCATCAATCACTCGCGCAAGTCAATTAAAAGTATTAGGAAACACATTCACATAGCACCTCATATCAATCACATCATCACAAAAGGCTTTTAAAAACATTTCATGCACTCAAAACACTCCGCTCACATGGTCTGAGAAGCATCAAATTATTCGACATCACCGAATCACTCATCATCTAATGCATCAAATATGCAGCTCCCTCCTGGTCCGGTTTTGCTACACAACAACAACTTCAGCAACTACAATCTCTCATTAAAAATCTAATCCGCTTCCACTATCTACCTGCATCATGTCTTACTGTCACTCAGATATTCAACACACCCAATTGAAGACTGTTCAAGAAAGTAGAAAATAACAACAACCATCCATCCATCCTCTACTACCACCAATTATAACTACAACACACAACCTTCGTCAGCGCAAACATAACTATCAAGTCGCCACCCAATCTACATATCAGGAAAAGACCTTCATCACAAGACACCTCAAACATATTCATTGACTCATTACTTGATAAATCTACTGCTAATGTTAAAAGTGAGTTTGATAAATCAATAAATGTTGTCAAGAAAGAGTTTAGTTCATTGTGGACCGATGTTGTGAAAAATAAATTGGAAGTAGTAACTAATGAAGTCAAATCTGTTAAACACACGTTAGATGTATCCAATGATAGCAAAGAACGGGAGAATAACATGGTTATATTCAATTTGAAGGAATCTGAAAATGCTGGCAAGGATAGAGATGTTGTCATGTTTATTTTGATGTCAATGACAGAGAACAAACTTAATGAAGCTGATATTCTGGTATTAACTCGTCAGGGACATAGACGTGACGGAGTTTTGAGGCCTGTCATCATCAAATTCAGTAATGCTGTATCGAAAATGTTTACGCTGAAGACATCCTTCAGAATTATGTTGCTTGAAGGTGACTTAAAAAATATTAGGGTAAGTCATGACCTAAGCCCTGAACAGCGTGTTGAATTGAAATCGCTGTTGGATAAAGCCAAGTCTAAAAATGTTTAAGATAATGATTTTTTATACAGGGTCAGAGGCCCTATCGGACGGTGGAAAATAATCAAGTCACTGCTCAATAATTAAAATGGGTTTGTATAATATGAGGTCTATTGTTAATAAGCTTGGTGTCGTTTATGATTTATTGTCCGATGATCTTGATTTCTTTGTTGTTGTTGAGTCCTGGCATGGTTCTTTAGATCATAATATAATCCAGTTAGCTATGCCGCCTAATTATGTTTATGTTGATCGTTTGAGGCCAAATGATCCCTATCATGGTGGCATTATTGTCTTTCTTAAGTGTTCTTTTGGTTTTAGGAAAATTGAGCTTCCTGTTGTTCAAACATTTGAGGCACTGGCCATTGTTTTTTCATTGAGAAATTCTAAAGTAATTCTGTTGTCCATTTATCGTCCTGGGCCTGAATCTGTCTCTGCATTGTTCTTTAGTGAATTTACTACAATTATGGAGTATATTTCTGTGTGCTGATTTGTTGTTGATAGTAGGTGATTTCAATATACATGTTAAAAGATTGAATGACAGGAATACAGTTTCTTTGTTGGATATTTTTGAATCGTTTCATGTTTGTAATTGTGTTGGTCCTACCCATTCATCTGGTGGTACACTTGATCTTGTTGTTTCGTCTGTTGATTTTCCTTCTTGTGATTGCACAGTCTTTTCTAGTAATGTCCATTCTGACCACAGTTTTATCAGAGTTGATTTTCCGTTTGTTCATCGTCGGACGAGGATTGTTAAACGATTGGTGCGATCATGGAATAGGATTGATAGTGAATTATTTGCCCGTCTTGTTTCCCAGTCTTTTGTTGGTGGTCCTTTTACTGATGGTGATCCAGAGATTGTTTATTCAAAATTCATGTCTAGTATGCAGTCAATAATTGATGTTGTTGCCCCGTTGCATTATGCTAAAACCAATAGCTCCCATAATTCTCCTTGGTTTGATGATCAGTGCAGAATATGCAAAAGATTGTGTCGTAAACTTGAACGTGTTTATCGTCATATCCCGAGTAAGGCTAATAAAATTCCTTGGAGAAATGCACTAATGAACAAAAGTTCTCTTTTCTCAAACAAAAGGAGTTTGTATTGGAAAAATTTGATACAGATGAATAAGTCCAGGCCTAAATTATTGTGGAACATGGTGAGTAAATTGTTTGGTAAATTCTCGGATAGCCATAGTTTGAGTGAATCAATTAATTTTACGCCATCTGATTTTGCTTCTTTTTTCAAGGATAAGATTAAGAGAGTGATGGACTTAACAGCTTCCTCGATTGCACCAGTCTTTTCTCATTGTAGGTTTCGGTATGATGAGTTGTTCTCTGCGTTTTCTTTGTGCTCGGGTGACGAAATTAAAAAAATTGTTTTAGGTTCTCCAACAAAATCCTTTTCAAATGATTTTATTCCGACTCAAGTTTTTAAATCATATCCCGACTTGTTTATTCCATTCTTGACATTTTTTGTTAACTTGTGCTTAAGAACTGGTTGTTTTCCTAATCCTCTGAAACACGCTGTTGTAACTCCTGTATTAAAAAAGTCATCCCATGATAAAAGTGATATTTCTAATTTCCGTCCAATATCCAATCTGTTGTTTTTGTCTAAGGTTCTTGAACGTATTGTTTTGGGGCAATTCTTAAGTCATCTGAATAGACATAATTTGATGCCTGTTCACCAATCGGGCTATAGGCAGAACCATTCAACTGAGACGGTTTTAATTGATGTTACGTCTACATTATTTGCAGCTATGGATCAACACAAAGTTTCATTGTTGGCTTTATTGGACATGAGTGCTGCCTTTGATTGCGTTGATCATACCTTGTTGATTGATAAATTGAAATACTTTTTTGGTGTCTCTCATGTAGTAGCCTCATGGTTTGAATCATACCTGATTGGAAGGACTCAGCAAGTTTTCTTTAACAACGGGTTGTCAGATGTTGAGATAGTCACGTCTGGAGTTCCTCAGGGCTCAGTCCTTGGGCCTTTGTTGTTTTTACTTTATACAGCTGATATGTTCCCAATTTTTGAGGAATTTTATTTCAAGTATCATGCGTTTGCTGATGATGTGCAAATAATTGTTCCGATTGCATGTAATACAACGTTTGAAGATGAAGTTGATAGATTTGTATGTTGCATCGAAAAACTCAATGGGTGGATGATAGATAACAGATTGAAGATGAATGAAGGTAAAACTCAACTACTTTTGATTGGTACCTGGCAACAGCTGGAGAAAATTGATGTTGAGTCCATCAACATATCTGGGTCGGATGTTAATTTTTGTTCCTCCGTTGGTGACTTGGGGATCGTATTGGATCAAAATATGTCAATGAATTTTCATGCCAAAAAGCTTAGTAAGGAGTGCTCACTTCAGCTTAGAAGGCTTAATCAAGTTAAAAACTCATTAGATAATGACACATTGAAATGTTTGGTTCATGCATTTGTTCATTCAAAGTTGGACTACTGTAACAGTGTTTTCTATGGAGTATCAAATAGTACTTTGTCTTCTCTACAGTCAATTCAGAACAGAGCGGCCAGGATTGTCAGTGGCCGTTTGAAGTTTGATCACATTAGTCAAACGTTGTTGGATCTTCATTGGCTTAATGTTAGGAAAAGAATCTTATACAAAATTTCCATCATGGTGTTCAAATGCCTGAATGGTCTCAGTCCAAGTTACCTGTCTGAAATGATAATACGTAGAGTTAGATCTCATCCGTCAATCAAGTTGCGTTTAGTGGATCAAGATCTATTGATGGTGCCGAAAACAAAATTAGCTGTTGCTGATAGAAGTTTTGCAGTTGCTGGTCCTTCGATCTGGAATAATTTGCCCCATCACCTGCGTCGGCCGGGATTGACTCTTCAACGGTTTCGCAAGGAATTGAAAACTCATATCTTCTTGGATTGATTCGCACAAATCATGGAGCGCCTTTGGGTGACTATAAAAGGCGCTCTACAAGTTCTCTAATAATAATAATAATATTCACGCTCATTAATTTGTGTTTTTATGCCATTACTTCATTTTATTGTCAATTTATTTTAATTTCTTTTATTTATTTCATTATTATTATTTATTTTATTTTATTTTTCATGTTTAAACATTTTTTTTCTTTTTTTTATTTATTTATTTACTTATTTGTTTAATTTTGTACTATTGCCTTGCATGCCGTAACAGTTTCTGCGTCTGTCAGATCCTGATTTTTAAAGAATAAAAAAAAAACTCATGCCATAAACGATAAATCCTTACCAACCATATATTCCTTGTTGTGTTTACAAACACACTTTTTGTGTAATAAATGCATATTTAGCATAATTATCTGCATTGGTCACAAAACATAACATTTGTCCTTGTTTATTTTATTTCATTATATTTTAATTTAATTGATTTTGTATGATTGACTACTTTTATTAAAGTTTAAATTTTAATTTTTATTGATTAAACTATTTAATGCATGTTGAGTATTGGATAGGATCAATACATCAATCTTTGTTTAGCGTTCAGAGACCCAGTTTCTCCGAGGTAGGACGTTGTTTTCTTTGCCATCAATTTTTTGCACCAAATTAGGCAATCTGTTGTATCCATTTCATTTAAATTTAGAGCTTTCATGTCTTGCTCGATTGTTTGCGACCAGGACTTTTTTGGACGGCCTTTGGGACGTGTGCCAGGTACTTCAACATCTGCAAGAGAAGTTACGGCACTGTTTCCACTTCGTTTGACCGTCCAGGCTGCATGTATGCATGCTCAAACGGCAGCTTTAGCTGTTCCAGTACAATCCAGAACATCCCCTAGATAATGAAACGATGTGATTTTACTAGCGGTTTGAAAAAAACGTTTGACTAAATTTTAAATCAAACGATACCAGTTATGAAAATTATTATTAATGTTATCATTATCTTTATGTTATTGTTGTTGTTGCCCCATTTCTGGGGGACCCCTTGGGCTCCAATCGAGGCCGGAGCCAAACCGCCACTGCAATTGGGTTTCTCCAGAGATTTATTGGGTGTAGTTTTGTGGTGTTTTGTGAACAGCTAAACAGATGCGGTACATCATCTGTATGATTGTTGCAGAAAGGACAGATGTTAAGGTGCCCACTGTCGATTCTGTATTTGTAGCTGTTTAGAAGAATACTATGGCCAGAACAGAGTTGGGCTAGTGTCCGTCTAATTGCCCTGGGAAGTGATTCTTCTGTTGGATCTATTTTTGGTGTAGGTGGAGGCCATCCGTCAAGTAACATCAACGGCGACTGATACGTCTCTGTGGTGACTTTGATGGTGTTATTGTGTAGTGTTCTTAGAGCGGACTTCAGAGAATCGCTATTTATGGTTGTTGGTAGAACCGCATGAGTTGTTGAAGCCCATTTGGAGAGGAGCGTGGTCTTCATGTTGCGATGAGAGTGTTTTTGCGTGATGATATGATGGCACGGGTGGCTTGGGTTATGGGAATTGTGATGCTATTAGCTCCGAATGCTGCCTTACCGTTAACATCTGACATTCTGAATGAAGGTGTCGTTCTGAAGCGATCTCATGACAACCTGTAATCGGACGTAGGGCGGCATTCTGGGAGCGTTGAAGACGTGAGAGGCTTGAGTCTGATGTCAATGATGCCCAGGCAGGACAAGCATACTCTATTGTTGAACGACCAATGGTTTTGTAGGTCTGTAAGAGAGTTTCCTTGTCCTGGCCATAGGTTGTACCACTTAGTGCCTTTAAAACATTATTCTTTATTGAGGCCTCGGATGCTGTTTTTTTATGGTGTTGTGAGAAGGACATCATCGTGTCTAACGTGAGGCCTAATATTTTTCGATTATGTTCGAGTGGTAATTAATTGTTATTTATTTTATTGCTGGATGATAGTGATACTGTGAAGTGTGTGTGGTGAAGAGGGTGACTGTGGACTTGGAGTTGGAAATCTCCAAGTTTCTGCTATTGAAAAAGTCGTAAAGCTTCGGAAGGTAACAATTGAGCCGAAGTGTCAAATCATCTGCCTTCGGACCTGTAGTGTAGATTGAAAAATCGTCTGCATAAGAGATATCTTTGACATATGGAGGAGGATTTGGTAGTTTGGAGACGTAGTAGTTAAACAGAGTTGGTGACAATACAGAACCTTGAGGCACTCCTGAGCGGATGGTGCGTTGTTTTGAAAATTGTCGACGGAACTCTGTTGAGGCGGAGCGTCCATGCAGATAGTTTGACAACCAGCGGACAATTGACCGTGGAAGCGATGATGACATGAGGTCGGAGATTAGGATGCGATGGTTAACGGTATCGAAGGCCTTTGTGAGGTCCAATGCTGTTAAGATTGTTCGGTGAGCTGGCCTCTTCTGATTTAGGCCGATTGCGATATCGTTGACCATCGTGGTGAGAGCTGTTGTTGTAGAATGAAGTGGGCGAAAACCATGCTGATGGCTCGCTAAGGTTAGGTGATTCGAGATGATCGGCAGAAGGCATTTTTCAAATACTTTAGCTGCCGGAAGAAGAGATATAGAACGGTATGATTTCGCGTCGTTAACTGGTTTGCCGGGTTTCAGTAGGGGAATGATTTTTGATTTCTTGTAAATTTCAGGAATCCTACAGGTTTGTAGTGATTCGTTAAAAATATTTGTTAGGAAGGAAATTCCCTTTGGGCCGAGGTGTTTTAGGTGAAATATTGCATTAGACGGTTTGGAAGTTTTAATAGCTTCTGTAACCTGATTGGGGGTTAGTGTAGGATAGTCGTCAAGCGGAAGTTTCTTGACGGCTTTGTTGGTGATTCTATTTAGTTTGTTTGATGAATGTTTCGTAGTTGATGTAAAAATTTTATTGAATGAGTTGGCTATTTGCAGGTTGTTGGTTAGTGACCTGTTGTTGAAATTAATAGCGATGTTGGGGTATTGAGTTGGTTTGCCGCTAAGAGCTTTTATGGTGCTCCAGAGGCGCTTGGTGTTGGTCATCCTGTTGAAAGTGCTCAGGAACTCCTTCCAACGCGATTTTTTTAATTTGTTGATATTATTGTTGATGTAGTTGCTATGTCCTTAGATGTTGGATCTGTAGCTCTGATGTCATCTCGTCTTTTCATTAGGTCGGTGATTTCTTTCGATAGACCTGGAGTATGTTGGAACGTATGTTGTGGTCACTTGCGTCCTGTAGAATACGACGAAACGATTTCTCGGCCGCTGATAGGTTGGGAGGGAAGACTTGATTGGAAAATCCGAGCTTGCACACAAAATTGGAAAATTTATTTTTAATGTTGTTGTTATTATTGGAATAAAAATAAGATTAACTAATAGATTGAAGCTTAATCCGTTTGAAAAGAATATCAAAGATTGTTGATGTAAATTTGGTCATAGACTCACCAATTCATTTTTGAATTTTCAGAAGTAGCAATGTACAGCGTTCACCGTCAGCTGCATCATTCAACTGTCATCAAATGTGCAGTCGAGTGTCATTTCTTCAACAAGCATGAAAACAACTTGGTTCTAGCTGGCATCGATGAGTTGTATGTTTTCAGGGCAAGAAAATGTGACCTTGGAGATTCAGGCGTTAGTTCATAAGTTTTTTAGATCTGCCTTAATAATTGTACTCATTTATCACTCTTTTTTTATTGCAGGCTGAAAAAGGTGAAAAGTTTTTCATTGGATATAAATGTAATTAATTTGAAGATACATTCAAATTTGTTTCTATCAGATACAACAGTAAAGCTAGAGTGTTTGGCTTCTTATAAATTATTTGGCAACATTTTGTCACTTCATTGTTTAAAATCTGAAAATTCTTGCAACGATTCACTGCTTATTGCCTTCAAGGAAGCTAAGGTCACCTCCAGTATTTTCTATGTACTTTTTTGACATAAACTTCTAAATTCTGATTTTTAAATGATATAAATTATTGACTCCTTACCTAATATAAATTATAAACTTTTGTTTCACTGCACTTTGATATTCTAAATAGTCATATTTTTCTAATTGTTATTCATGTTATTCATTTGTTATTCATACTTGTTTGTCACTATTTGTTTTTATTATTATAATTTTATTCGGTTTTATTGCAGCTTTCGTTGGTTAGTTACAGTGAAGTTGAAAATGACTTGAAGACAATTTCCTTGCACTGCTTTGAAAGCCTTTTAACACAAGTAGTTTATTTTTAATTTTTGGTATTTAAAAGTAATTTTGAACGATTATGCCTGTTGTAAAAAATCTAGGAAGGTCGACAGAAACATAATTATTTTGTTCCGCTGGTCCGAGTTGACGAGCTCAACAGATGTGCAGTGTTGTTGGTTCATGATACATTACTCGCCGTAGTGCCGTTGAGAAATGCGAATATGTTAGAAATTTTTAATTGTAGATTTTTTGTCATATTTCAGGATTTCAATTGAACATTTTTTTAAAAGATTATATATGATTCAATAAAACTTTTCTTAGAAGAAATTTAACTGGTAAATTTTTACATTTTGCTATGCAGGCTACATGATAGTGCATCATCTTATACGATCGATTTGAAGAAATTAGACGAACGTGTCATAAACGTGAAGGACATTGACTTCCTTCACGGCTACTACGAACCCACTCTGGCAATCCTCTTCGAACCACTGCCAACATGGGCTGGGTTATTAAATATTTTCATTGCAGTTCACCCATGATTTATATTTAGCTACCGAAGTCGTGTACTAATTTGAGAGTATTCTGAAAGAAGAATTACTTGGTAAAGGGTCGTCGTAATAATATGAAAAAATGAATAAAGACTGGAGCATTTCATTTTTCATAACTGAACATTTAACATTTCATTATCACAATCTTCTATTGATTGATTATATCATATCGGTTTGCACTTTTGCAGACGTGTAGCAGTGCGGAAAGATACCTGCCATATGGTGGCCTTGTCAATAAATATGGAGCAGAGAGTTAGCCCCATCATCTGGTCTGTCAACAACTTGCCATTCGATTCCTCTCAACTCATACCTGTCCAAAAGCCAATTGGTTATTAATGGATGATTTGTTTCGCTTTTTAAAATTTTAAAATAATTTTCAACCAACTGTAAAACGGAGGATTATTTGATTATTATTACATCAAAGTAAATATGAAAGATTTTATTTGGCGGAAAAAGATGGGATGAATGATTGAAAAAAAATTTTATATTAAATTGAAAATTATGATCAAGATTCATTTGAGATCATGCTAGTTTTATTTATTCAATATAGGAATGGATGGTGGGACAAAATGTACTAGACGAAATATTCAGGAATAAAAATATGTTTTGAAAAACTGTACCAGACATATATACCGTACACACGTGTGTGTTTACTAACCGCAAAGTTTATTTTAATGTCAACATAAATCATGGCAGAATTAAAATAGCGCAAAGGTACCTGAGCAACATGACAATACAACCCAGAAGTTGTGATTATGAGCATGAGCAGTTCCGTCAAGGTATCGAATGAGTCGTTTGTGGTCTGACAATTCGGCTGATTCTTTCTGCGTTTTCGCGATATTTCCGTTTGCATAGAATGAAGCAGCTGGTTGTTCTGCGACAAATGGCTAAATTTTTATCTCGTTCAAACTCTTTTCGTTTAGCGAGTGCATCAATGAACTTCCAAATCGTAGGATTGTGTGCACCAAGCACTTGCAAGAAACCGTTGTGCCATCATTTGCAAGAGCCATTAGTCATTAATCTTTGCCTAGCCCATATTCATAAAAAGGAAATAATTTTTTTCTTACATTTTTAAACTATTGAAATTTTCAACCATATTTTTACTCTAGTATGTTTTATCCAGTATATTTCGTCCTAGAACCTTAAAAAGTTATGATTTGATTTGTGCATATGACTTTAATTTTTATTATGTGAGTGCATTGTTTTTCAAACTTCTATTAAGAATAATTTAAATGACGATCTTGGTCATAGTTGTTGAGTGTTTAAATGTTTTCAAACTGCAGGCGGCGTGTTGGTGGTGGCGTACAATTCGCTAATGTATTTAAATCAAAGTTTCCCGCCATTCGGGGTGTCGCTGAACAGCATGACGCACTTCTCCACAGACTTCATTCTCAGTTAGTAGTTTTTGCAGTTTTTTGTCTTCACATTTTTTAATTTTCAGGTCGTTGATTGTGAAACGTGACCGAGTTGTTATTGTCCTTGTAGTGGGGTTTTCAGTTTGATTTTATTATTTCATCGAATTTTTTATGCAAATATTTTCAACTTTGATTATTTTCTGTCCATAAATTATCATTTATTATCATTAGTGACGTTTATATTTTTTAAGAAGATAATTTTTCTTTCAAAGCCTGAGGAAAAAGCATTAAAGTTATCCGACTGTAATGAGGATTAAATGCTTGAGTCATAACTTTTAAAATTATTTCAAACTGGAAGGTTTTTCTAAGGAATTTAATAAGCCGAAAAAATTTTGCGAATGAAGTAATGTAACCAATGAATTTTAAAACTAAAAATAAGCTTTTTCCAAATGAACTTCGAAAATGAGTGTGAGGGAGGCAAGTTGATGCCGTGGAAGGTAAACGCGAGAAAGAACCTGTAGGCGTTTGAATGGATTTTAGCGTGAAATAGGTGTGGGTTATGACTCTTGGTGTCGGTACTACAATGTATCATGTTTGTGCTGATGGCTGGGCACTGATTTTTTAAATTAGGTTCTTCATAGATATGTTGTCTTCTTTTAACACAGAGAAGCAAAACATCAACATAACACTGGACTGCTCTCGTTTCTGTCTGTTGTCAGCTGACAAGTTCATTATTTCCTTGAAGGGAGGGGAATTGTTAGTGCTTATTTGTTTGTTTGTATGATTGTTTGTTTGCTTGCCTTCTCGTTTTTTTGTTTGTTCGTTCGTTCTTTTGTTTGTTAATTTCTTTGTTTTTTCGTTCTTTTGTTTGTTAATTTCTTTGTTTGTTTATTCATTTAATTATTTATTTGTATGACGCTAGGCATATAATTTTTTGTCGAAAATTTCTTACGTTATCACAAGGTTCATATTGTCACTCTTGGCTGATGGCATGAACTCCGTGAAGGGCTTTCATTTCAACAAAGCAGCCTCCAGCGTTTTGACATCTTGCGTTGGTTACATATTCTTTCTAATCTATAGAGTTAATCTCATTCCATGTTTTTTTAAACTGCGTGCAGTACAATAACATAAGCTCAAAAATGGAAAACAATTACGTTTCAATAGAGGTGACAAACTTGTTCGAAAGTTTCATCAATAGTCGTTGGATTGGTCGGTGATTAATACATTTATGAAAGTGGCTTCATATGTAATCAATTTTGAGTTCATAATCAAGCTGAGAGTTAGAAAATTTGGCTTGGTTAAAAGGTATGTCACGTAGGTGAACATTAAAAAATCGATTTCAGATGTTACGAGATACGAACGCAGATGGATTGTGAAATTGATTAAGAGTGCAGTAAACATTGTAGCTGAAGAAGAAATCGGGTACAAAAGATGTTGATCCCTGGAAGAACTGAGTACACTACTGAAGACCTGGCAGAAATGACAAAATAATGTCATGTTATTAAAAAATGAAAAAGAATTGTTCTCGGTTTGATGAAATTAAACTTTCAGGATAAAAAGTTGAGATTAGATTCGGAGATGGCGCGCAACACGTAAATGACTAAGAAAAATTATTATTATACAACTAATTATGACTTGAATATCTTTGGCCGGTTTTGCTGTAGCAGAGCTTTAGCAATTGACTGTTTGTAAGTCAACTGGTTGATTTTTCTTATTTGTTTGTATTATGATCATTATGTGTTACAGATATGCAATAGAGTGCAATTAAATTTGCTCCTATTTTGTCATCATGTTTTGTACATCCGCTTGTATAGTGGTCATTATGTTTTTCAGATCTGCCTGTATGGTGGTCATTATGTTTTTCTCGGCTCACGATTAGGCAATTCATTGTTGCTGAAATACAGTGAAAGACTTGATGATCAAGTAGAGACCGGCAACCACGACAGTGAGGTTGATAAAGATTTTCATGATTGTCCCTTTTTATTTGTGAAGCATTTTCAACCTGACTTGTGGTAAAAATTAAAAGCAATTGTTCATTTTATGTTCTGTGCATTCATTGGATCATATGCTATTGTTTTTTCATTTTTTCAGATGATTCATGATGGAAAAGAATGCATGGGTTTATATAAGTTTTTTGAATTTTTTACATTTTCTACTATTTTTATTCTTTTGTTATTGTTGTTTTTTTTGTTATTCTTTTGTTATTGTTGGATTTTGTTATATATATATATATATATATATATATATATATATATATATATATATATATATATATATATATATATACATATATATATATACATACACACACACACACACACATATATATATATATAATATATATATCAATCAATCAATCTTCTTTTTGCGTCCAGAGACCCGGTTTCCCGAGGTAGGACGTATAATAATATATATATATATATATATATATATATATATATATATATATATCACTTCTTGCATTTATACAGCGCCCGTTGGAAAAAACAATTGTCACAGGCGCTTCAATATATTAAATGCTATTAAGAGTTGAACAGATTGGCTTTCAACTGTCTCTTAAATTGACTTTGAACAAAATCGCCACTGCGCAAAGTGTTTCGAAGCCTATTCCACAATCATGGTCCGACCAGCTTGAGGTTTTTCTTTAGTACACACAAAAAATTTGAATCAACAGATCTCAATTCATATTTTGACAACTTTGTTCTATTATTAGTAAACAAATCGATCATATTTTGTGGTGCAACGTTATTCAAAGGCTTTTAAATTAATTTTTTGACATTGTCATTGATTTTAATGGACTTAGCAGTTATTTTGGACAACTGTTGCCAGGTGCCTATAGGTAAAATTTGTCTTTTAGTTTGGTTCATCTGAATACCATTTTGCTCCATCCAAACAAAGATGTTTGGATGGCGTAAAGCATAGTGTGGATAACAACGTTGTTTCGACAAAGATGTCATCTTTAGAGCCTATAATTTTAAATAACGGAATATAAATTGAAATAAAGATTTAAAATCATAGAAATTAAGAAAATACAATTGCAATGAACCAAAATTGATGTAAAAGTGATTACCTTGTATTAATAACATGTAAACATGATATAATATGAATAACGAATATAAATAAAATATATAATAAAAAAATAAAACAAATAAATTAAGAAAATCAAATATTAAAATACAAATAAAATCGTTAAGTATCGATATGGAACTAAAAATAGACTGAAAACGATCTATATATATAAATATATATGTAACAAATTTGATTAAATGATTTTGTTCATTTAGCGTTTATTAATTTCTTGAAAAGACATTCAACAACACATAACTGTTGCAATTCATATTTATTAAAACTTTCAATCATAGTGTGTCCAACAACGTTGTTACGACAACGATGCCATCTTCAGAGCCTATAATTTGAAATAACGGAATATAAATCGAAATAAAGATTTAAAATCATAGAAATTAAAAAAAAATATATAGTCTGAATCATATATATATATATATATATAGGCTAGAAGGAGACCAGGAGACCATAATTGATGCAATATTTGGTTTTTAAAAATTTACAATTGAGCTTTTCAATATTTTAAACAATAATTTTATAATTATTATTCAATTTGTTAAAATTGATAAGAAAATCGTTGGTGTTCATGGTGAAGCGTATTTCAATTTTATTTCGAAATAGGACCTACACACTTCATCATGAACACCAATGATTTTCTTATTAATTTTAATAAATTGTATAATAATTATATTGCATACATTATATTATTTGTTTTTTTTTATTTGTCTGTTAGTTTTCCTCTTTTTTACTTCCCGTAATAGAAACGTTGGAGATGGATATGTATGGAGGGGACAAGACATCAACTAACAAAACATTCCATTACTTTTTTGAGGTATGTGTTTAGAAATTATAACAAATTGAACTTTTAATAAGTTTATAATGTCATTATCATGTGAGAACTAGAAAGTTTCGTTTCGCACGTGATTAAGTTACAAATTTGAATATTATCACAATATCAGGGTTTTATTGATAATTTATTCTCATTTATTTATCACGTTGACGATGAATTTTAAAATCCTGTTTCAAACGAATGACTTTAATGAAAATGAAACCACGAACTTGTTGAGGTGTGTGACAGCCTGGTGAACATTGGTCCTTGCGGGCACATCGTCATGGGGGAGGTTGCGTTTCTTTCTGAAGAATTCTACAATGCGAAGGAACCAAACGTCGAACTGGTGACGACGTCTGGTTGCAACAAAAATGGCGCCATTACAGTTTTGCAGGTTATGTAAATTATTTTATGGTTGTTGTTTTTTTGAGTTGCCTTTTCAAATAAATCTTTCAGAACGTTTATAAGTTGTATATTATATTAGCTTGACCAATCTATTAAGATGTTTGTTCCATTGTCAGAAAAATTTTTTTAAGTTGAAATGCTTCAATCTTTTTCCTATTGTTAGTGACTGTTAAGGCTTTTTTATAAATTAATAAATTCAGACGGCATTAATGACGTCATCACCATGTAGACCTGCTGAACATTCATTCAACCCAATTTTTTGCTTGGTGCATTATTTTCTATTTTGTTCTTTTTTGCAGTTCAAATTTTTATCTAATTTTAATTTTGATTGGTTCATTAAGAAGTTCGTGCGAACTTCCAAATTATATTTTGCATGGAAAGTGGTGTTAAGACAAACGATCAAATGTTCTTCAACAGAAAAGCATCCACCCACAGCTAGTGACAACATTTGAGCTGCCAGGCTGCGTCAACATGTGGACTGCCATTGGACAACGAAAAAATGTTGATAACGAAGAGTTTGTTAGTATTTGTTGTTTGTTAATTTTTTTTGTATCTTATGCAATTTGAATGTTTATTAAGATGGTGGAACTGCCTCAAACTAATTAATGACTTTGAAGTTTCAACAAGACTTGATAAACCTAAAACTTTGATTGGATATGATTTTGAACAACTTCTCTTGACGAAAATTTCTGTATTTAATATTATTTGAAACTGTTGCAAGGCAGAGAAGAAGTGGTTTAGCGTTGATAATATTGATGATGCAGAAAGATTTATGAAAAATCATCTTACCCAACAAACACTGATAACTCTTAGTTTAAGAGGTTAAAAAGTGTTGTTTGCTGCAAACGAAGACAAATTCGCATTTTACCACGCCTACCAAAGAGGTTAAGTCTGTTCAGCTGGTTACAGCACTCGTTGCTAAAAACATCTGTCTTCAGATTAATTTTTTCATGTAGAAAAAACAGAAGAAATTATCAAAAGAATGGTCTGAACAAAAATTTTTAAATACTAACTGTTGTAAAATATAAACTTATGAAGGATAGTTAAATTTTTTGTTGTATTAATGAGTGCAATTGTTTTCTGTTTTTATTTACGTTTCGTTTAAACGCATCATTATTTTGAGTTTCACACAAAATATGACTTATGATTATTATTAAGTAATGGAGTTTGAATGTTTCAAATAATGCACATATGTTCAGGAATAACATTAAATGCGTATGAAGTGATTCCATAGGTCAATTTGATTGATGATTATTTCTAGATGTCAGATGATTTGAGTCACTCGATACTCGTCATCAGTCGGAGGGACTCCAGCATGGTCAGGTAATTTGAAACATTCGTTAGTTATGCATTTGTGGTTGGTTTGTTGGTTGGTTGGTTAGTTGAACGTATTCATCTAATCAGATCTTGAAGACTGGTCACGAAATAATGGAGATTGATAACAGTGATTTCATCACGCAAACTCCAACAATATATGTCGGTAACATGGGCAACAACCAATATATAGTTCAAGTATCACCTACTTCCGTGCGCTTGCTATGTGGAGGTTACTAAATATTCTATTTAGTAATTATTTTTACATTTGAATTGTCGTAATTAATATATATATATATATACATTTTGCGCAGTCACCAGCATCCAGGAAATAATCCTGGAGGAAGATGTATCGATTGTCAGTTGCTCTGTGGCCGACCCCCATCTATCTTTACTTTCCAGCCAAGGGATGATCATATACTTCACACTTGTAACCAATGATTCGTCACCAGCTCATTTTGTTAGAAACACACCTACTTGTTTGGAGGTTTGTCATTTGCTGAGAAGTGTTCATTTTTGACTCTCTCATAAAAGATTGAAATTTATGTTTTATGCATACATTCCAACGAGAATTTTTAGAAAGTTTAATTTATAATCCGTATAATGTAGTAGTAGTTAGAAATGTTTGCACAATACTGAACATGAACATTGACTGAGAGATCAAATCAACGATCATATTGATGATGTTTTTGAATTTTTGTTTAATTATTTTGCATCATCTTCATCGTTCAATAGCTCATTTCTCAGTTGAGGAAATAAGCTGCCAAACTGGTGGGTCTACTTTAACTATTCTCTCTCTTTCCTCCTGTACATCTTTCTTTCTTCAGCAGTTATGTCAGCTGTTTTATCGTTTATTACTTTTTGAGGACAAGTTAGATCCGCTTTACATTTCATGCACACAGATTCTTTTTGAGTTAAATAATAATTGATCTACATACATTGTAAATTAGCAGGATAGCACTTTCATTTTTGAAGTTGTTTTCTTTATTATATTCTACAATAACTATTCTGAGAAGTCTCAGTTGAACATCCAAAAGTTTACGTAGAATTCAAAAGCGAAACAAGGATTTATTGAGTTCATTGATAAGGTTTTATTTGCTTACAAAATTATTCAATGTTCTCCAAGCTTTTTGCTGAAGATTTTGAAAAGAAAAGATTTTTAAAGCTCAATGTCATCGAAACAGGAGTATGGCTTAATAGTTGGGCCTGAAGCTACGAAGCTTCTTCTCTAGTGTGGAAAACTACCCCGTTTTAGGTGATATTCAAAGAAGCGTAGAAGAGCTGTTTATAAATTGCGCTAAACCGACGTTTGTAATAATGAAAACGCTTTTATTTTCAAAAAAGCATGACATAAATTACCATAAAATAAAATCTAATTAAAATGTTAAGTAATCTACAATGCTTACCATACATGTTGAAGGAGCACGAAGAGAAATAAAATTAGCATCAAAATTGAGTTCAAATTATGTTCCATCACAGTAAATAGCGCAGGATATCAATATGGCAGAATTAATTAAACTGGTGTGAAGTTGATGAGCCAAATAATAATAATAATTGATATAATTAATTATTTTACTTTCCTTAAAGAGTTACCCTGCAACGGCCATTTGTTTGTTCGAAGACAAATCAGGATTGTTCAACATTGATAATATCGAAATCAGCCAAAAGAATGATTCTGAAATGAAAAATTTCACAAAACCCAACAAGTAAGTTTTTATTTGCTTTAATTTGATAATTCATTACAATATCCAGTTATGCACAATATTATTTTGTCACAGAACCTTTATAATGTTTTATATGATTTAAATAAATATAATTTCATCATTTCCTACATTTTTATGTCAGAACTATCAAGAAAAAATAGAAAATGACTGATAAATATGAGTGAGCAAGTTTTTTAACCAAGGTTGTATGTAAGGTGTTATGAATTGATTCAGTCCGTCTATTCTCAGACTACTTTTGTGCTTGCTTTCATTTTATAGATAACTCACTCACTGACTGACAACAACACTTAGACAGACGACATCCCGCCCGAGATCGGGGGTTGCTGTTTGGCTACCTATGATGAAACCGAAATACCCCTCGACGCCATTCTATCATAAGTAATTTATTTGGCTAATTTTTACGCAGGACGCCCTTCCTTACGCAACCACAGTTATAAGCGGTGGGCCTAGCCTTTGATGATCCAACATCACTCACAAGGCAGTGAGGGTCACTTTAATGTCATAACCAGGACATAACCAGACCACTCACTCAATATAAATCAAAAAATACCTAAATAGTTTTTGAGCGATCCAAATGACTTTCATCACTAACAGTCAATTGTGTACCTAAATTTATTGTTATAACCGTCTAAAGTATATTCGCTAGAGGCGTTAGTGTCGCTACGGACGCATACAGTTTAAGAAGGAACTAGAACCTTCTGACAGCGAGATATCTTGTACGTTCGAGAAGCGTCGATAAGACAGGTATATAATGACATGCAGGATATCGAATAGCGGTTGTTAGTGTCGAAAGCGATATTTGATATTTGACTGCGTTAAAAGTTTTGTTTTATTTGCGATATACGTTAGTGAATAGTGATTCGGAAATTGATAGTTTTTGAACGTTAATTATTAATAATTGATTAACATTAATTATTGATCTGTGAAACGGTAATTTAAAAAATATATTTTCATTATTTTCCATTTGGATTAAACAAACCCGTCGTTGACCGGGCAGTTATAACATTTTTTTCAGAATTGGGATCTTTGGTGAAAAATAAGTGAGGATCGTTGTTGAAACATTTTGATTTTTTATCGACATGTTATTTTGTAAAACATGATGAAACTACATCAACTTAAATTGGTTCAACTCATAGAGGAGCTACATAAACGAAATCTTGCTACAAGTGGAAACAGAGAAATTTTGGTAGCACGCCCAACGGAAGCCCTTGTTGATGAAATTGAGAATTTAGATGAATTTGAGTTCGACAATCATGATGTCTAATCAAATGCATTTATAAACGCTGGGACGAACACCGAATTGATGGCACTACTTCTAACGATATCAATAGAAATAAGACAACAGTCAACAGAAATAAAACAGGCGAGAGATGAAATTGATGCCAAAATTGAACAACATTGCGAAAATAATACATTTAACAAAACTCAGAGAACAATTCGATGTCAAAACTGAACCCCAATCGGCCGAAAACAATGCAAAAATAGAAAACATCACGTCAAAAATTGAATAGAAAGTGGATCAAAATGTTACCGAGTTTGACAAGAAGTTATCGACCAGAAATTGGAAGAAACTAAGAAAATAAACTCCACACCTGTGAGCCACGTAACCGCGAAGAACCGTAACTTTGAAAGCGCCATCATTCGATGGAGAGACTTCTTGGAACATCTTTAAAGCCCAGTTTGAAGCTGCAGCAAAAAATTATGGCGGGCAACGGCTCTTGTGGTAGCGTTACAAAGGTCAGCGGCAGAAGTTCTCCAAACGATTCCAGTCGAGAACCATTCTAACTATGAGGTTCTGGTAAATGCGTTGAATTTTGCGTCTGTCAGATCCTGATTTTTTAAAGAATAATAAAAAAAGTTATGGTGCGCCAAAATGCTGGAATTGTTGAGAAAAACGACATGTACGACGAGATTGTGAAGAACGCCCTAGAAACAATTACTGTCGTCATTGTGCAGTAACATGGCAAAAACGATTAGATGGTGACCCCGCGTCACGACCGACTGCTTCAAACAAGGAGGCGGACAACTAATACAGGCCAATTTTACGAGGCAGAAGTTGGCTGGTAGAATTAACGCTCCCGGTAACGTGATTAAAGCAGATAGCATAAAATTGATTTCGTATAACGATGGCCGGTGATACTGGAATACCTAAACTATCAGGGAACATCATATGGGCAAAAATAAATGGCGATACTGTGGACCACCATTTCTATCTGGTTGAGCCAACGACGACGATGGAAATTAACAGCATTGTTGTTGAAAAGGGTTTCGTAAGAGCAAATGAAATTGGCCATGTTCCAGTTCAGGTGTTGAATGAGGTCTCACCTGAAAACATGTCTTGTCGTTCTGGGAAAGTCTTTCAACCAGCATGTTGAAAATTTACGAGATATATTTTTGAAGCTTCATGCAGCAAACTTAAAGCTTAACGTTAAAAAGTGTAAATTGTTTGCAAAATAAGTAAATTACTTGGGACATGTCATATCTTCCGATGAAATGAGAACAGATCCAAGTAAAGTAGAAATGGTAAAAAATTGGCCAACTCCTAAAGATAAAAAGGATTTGCGCAGTTACCTCGGATTCGCTACATTCTACCGACGTTTTGAAAAGGATTTTGCATAAGTTGCACGACCACTATATCAACTCACGGAAAACGATCGAGCATTTAATTGGAATGAGTTGTGTGAGGCAGCTTTTGAACGACTAAAAAGAGAATCAAGTAGAGCTCCTTTGTTAGCGTATCCAATCCGAGGTAAACCAATTGTGCTAGATACGGACGCAAGTAACTGGAATTGGAGCGGTTTTGTCATAACAGGTTGAGTTGCTAGCGATAGTCATGGCAACAAAACATTTCTACAAGTACCTAACGGACAAAATTTTTTTCGAACGGATCATGCAGCGTTAAAGTGGTTGCTCGATTTCAAAGATCCAGAAGGACAGTTGGCACGATCGTTGGAATAAAATTGAAATAATGCATCGTAAATGAATCTTCTATAACAATGCCGATGCTCTTTCTCGTCGGCCTTGTTAACCAGGTTGCAAATACTGCAGTATTTGACTCTGTGGGACTTTTTGCATTTAGAAGATGGGTTGCTGAAACGAAAATAAGAATCAACAGATGGATCGAAACATCGCATGCAGATTGTGGTACCTAGGAATAAAATTGCTGAAGTTATTAAAGAAATGCATGGTGGCTCATCAGGCAGACATCTTGGAGTTAATAAGACGCTGGACAGAACACGTGAGAGGTTCTATTGGCTCGAGAAGATGTGGAAAGTTGGTGTCGAAAATGTAGTACGTGCGCTACGGCGAAAGGTTCTAAAAAGAGTTTACGAGGGAAAATGCCAATTTATAATGCTGGTGTGCCTTTCGAAAAGATTGCTAACGACATTGCCGGACCATTTCCTGAATCAAATGATGGAAACCGTTACATTCCGGTCGTAGCGGACTACTTTAGCAAGTGGCCGGAAGTGTATCCGATACCAAATCAGAACTGGATCAGTCGGTATGGTGTTTCCATAGAGCTGCATTCAAACCACGGTCGAAACTTCGAGTCGCAACTGTTTGGTGAGCTGTGTCAATTATTGGGTTTGAAGAAAACAAGAATCAATTCCTCTCCACTCTAAGTCAGATGCGATGGCGGAACGTTTCAACCAAACACTAACTGAACATTTGGCCAAGGTAGCTGACGAAAAGCAAAAGACTGGGATCGACAAAAATCACTGTTTTTCATGGCATAGCGAAATGCCATCCACACAACTCCATCAAAGATCCTTTTGGAAGTACGATAGGAACCCCAGCTGATATGAAATATGACGTACCACTCGAGACACCACAATCAATAACAGACTGTGTGGACAATCTCCATCAGCGGTTAAACAGCATCCACCAATACACGTCCGTGAAGTTAAAAAAGAACAGCGAAGCAACCAAGACCCGATACGATCAAAAGGGAAACACTGCTGGATTTAACACCAACGATTTGGTATAGCTGTATAACTCTCATCGGAAAAAGGGACGGTCTCCAAAGATTTAACGAGATTAGGAAGGACATTATCAGATCATAAACCGATTGAGCGACATCGTCTACCGAATTCAAGAACATCGGAAGCCGCGGGCGAGAAGGAAGATTGTTCATTTGGACAGACGGGCTCCATCCTATGCAGACGTTGCAACGAGCTCTGTTTGGGGCCGAAGGGGGATAGTGTTAAAACCGTCGCAATTGTATTTGCTAGAGGCGTTAGTGTCGCTACAAACGCATACATTTCGAGAAGAAACTAGAACTTTCTGACAGCGAGATATCTAGGACGTTCGAGAAGCGTCGGTAAGACGGGCATATAAAGACGTGCAGCATATCGAAAGATTGGTTGTTAGAGTCGAAAGCGATATTTGACTCTGCGATGTATTTTTATTATGTTTGCGGTAAACGGTAATGATTTGTTATTCGGAAAGCTATAGTTTCTGAACGTTAATTTGATAGTTTGTGAACATTTATTAGTAAAATTAGTTCACTTTGGTTATTGATTATTTTATTGATTCATTAACATTGATTGTCGATTTATAAATAAATAATTGTTTAAAAGTTATTTCGTGTAGCTATTTTCCCTTGGAGATAAAACGAACTTGTCGTTGACCGGCCTTTTATAATATTATTATTGGCTATTAATTATTAATTGGTATACACATTTTTTCAGAATGTATGTTGATGAGGATGAGTTATTGTATGGTGAAGCAACTAACGAACAGGATAATGATGTCCAAATGAAGTAAATTTTTGTTCAATTTCATTATTTAGTTGTTTAACTTTTTTATTTTAATTGTAAAAATGTTCTTTATTGAAGTTGTCGGAGTTATTTTTCTGATGTCATCACGAATATGGCTTTTCAGGCAGATGTTATTGTCACATTTTATGTACTGTTCCTTCTACTTGCTTGCTTGTTTTTACTTATTTGCTTAATTTTGTTAACGCCACTCGGTTTTATTTGCTTTGCTTACCTTATCAGGACATGACAAAACTTTCTTAACTATTCATTCTTATCCTCGTGTTGTTTTAACTTTGAATATATATATTGTAGATCTAATGTGTTGTCATTTCACTGACAAGTAACAATTCATCTCACGACTATTTCGCTGCATCATCTGCTTTATTATAATGTATATAGTTGTAAGTATAGTTGTCTTGCAAAGATAATTTTATTAATTGCAATCGACCCCATATTTCAGTGATGATTTACCTCATGCGAATCTTGAACACTCATCCAGTTCCTTCTGGTTGTTTGTTTGCAGAAAAAATGGTTTCTTGGAGGTTTGTTCGTCTGTTTGTTTCTATTTTATATTGCATTTAGTTTTGCATTTTCATTTCATCACCAAATAAGATTCTCAGTGTTCCCAGCTTCAAACCCCACTTTGGAACGTCCAGTTTGATTGTTGGAGAGAGACACATTGTTGATGATCTGGAAAGGTATTTCTCACCCCCTTGAGAATTGTTACAAATTTGATATTTCAAAAATTAGTTCAGATTTGATGTGAAGTTGCTCAGTAAATCATTTTATTGCTATTTATTTTATTAATTTGTATATTATTGCTTTGAATTTAATGAAGTAGTAGTTCGTGATTTGTTAGCAAGAATGCTGACAACGTGCAAGTGATTAATTAAACAATTAAAGGGAAGAACAACAACAAACAACACACGTTTAGACGACATTTTCCCCGAGATCGGGGGTTGCCGTTTGGCTATCTACGATGAAACCGAAATACCCCTCGACGCCATCCACATCTGTCACTCGCCTCAGTATCACGCAACCCCGCTTTCACCCTGTCCTTCTCCACCTGCTCTCTCTCTCCCAATCGCGGACGACCCCTTCCTACCACTCCTTCAACCTCGAACTCCAACACTCGCCTAATCCCGGCCCTTTCATCCCTTCTCAACACATGTCCATACCACTGCAATCTCGATCTCCTTATCAATGTCACAATGTCCTCATTCAGTCCCATCATTGACATCAGCTCTGTACTACTCCTCCTATCCTTCACTTTAACCCCACACATCATCCTTACCATAGCTCTTTCAGCCCTCTGCAGTACACTTTCCTCCTCTCTCCTCAACACCCAAGTTTCACCACTATATACCATCGCTGCTCTTACACATGCTTTATATACCCTCCCTTTCATCTTCACTGACCATTTCTTTCCACACAATACCCCACCCAGTTCCCTAAATTTCATCCATCCTCCACGAACTCTAGCCGTAACTGCGCTCAAACATCCTTCATCCGCGTTCAGCTTATCCCCTAAGTAAACAAAGCTTTCCACTCTTTCAATACCACCACTCAACCCCGTCCTTGCGTCCGTCCTATTAATCACACCATGAATACATTTCTTACATTTGAACGTGCCTTCCACCTTTTTCAGTGCCCCCCTCACACCACTACATCTCTTATGCACCCATTTCTGACATCCTATACACAATACCGAGTTAGCCTTCACTCTCCTGTCACATACCCCACAGGGGTCTATTTTACTTATCACTCGCTCCCCACCTTCCCCACTCACCATTACCTTCGTCTTACCAATATTAACTTTTAACCCTTTCTTTTCAATAACACTTTTCCATCTGTCAAATTTTAACTGCAATTCTTCCAAGCTATCAGCCATCAAGACTAAATCATCTGCATACAAAATCTCAAATAACAACCCCTCCATTATATTTCCACACACAACATCCATCACAATTGCAAACAGAAACGGTGATAACACTGATCCTTGATGCACTCCTACCTTAACACTAAAAGCGTCCGACATCCCCCTTCCTTTAACAAGTCTCTCATTCACTCCTTTCTTCCTCAACGCCCATTCAGTGACCTTCCTCGGTACTCGATCAAAAGCTTTTTCTAGATCCACAAAACACATGTACAATCTTCGTTTCTTCTTTCTATTATTCTCCTGCAACATTCTCACCATGAACAACGCATCCACCGTTCCCCTACCAAGCTAAAACCCACACTACATTTCATTTTCCAAACACCATCACCACCACAATTACACCATTGCTTCTCCGCCTCACTTCCAACACCTCCACCAACTCTTCTCTTACCATCACACCAACTCCTCCAGTACCATCATCCCCCTTCCACCACAACTTATATCTTCCATCTTTAGCCCCCACAAACCTTGTACCCTCACCCTTCCATCTGATCTCCTGTAATGCAGCCACGTCAACCATACTTTTCTGCAGCTCCTCCACCACTTCCAAACTTCTTCCTGTCAACGTGCCTACATTCCAGGTACCAAACCTCCAACCCCTTGGTCTACAAGTAGTCCTTCCATCTATAATGCCTTGCACCGCCACACTATAGAGTGGGGTGCCAGTAGCCAGACCATCCACAGGGCCTTGCACCACAACCCCATGGACTGGGTCTCCGGAGATTCTTCGCACCCTCTTCTGCCGGATACTGAGGGCCATTGTTATTTCCGTCATCATAAGTATTATTTTTTGGCTAGTTTTTACGCAGGACGCCCTTCCTTACGCAACCACAGTTATAAGCGGTGGGCCTAGCCTTTGATGATCCAACATCACTCACAAGGCAGTGAGGGTCAGTTTAATGTCATAACCAGGACAAAAAACAATTAAAGGGAAGAAATGATGAAAAAATAAATGACTACAAAATAAAAATAATAGGAACGAAAGCTTCTATAATTTTGTTTGTTGCGCCACTTGAGACGTAAACATCAACTCACTACTAGAGATTTTGAATTTCGGCTGGCAGCGTTTAGACCTTTAGAACTTTAGTGTCAAAAGATCGATTGTAAAGTGTACACCGAAAAAAGAATTATGAATAACTTTTTCATGCTGTTTTTAGTGCAGAACTGATTATTTTTAGAAGGAGAATTTCAGAGTCTAACATCAAGTATTCGAAATCTTTAGTCATTTAGGCTGCAATGTCCTAGTTGCGAGTATTAACTAAGAAACTGGTTAAAACACAAATTTTTGCACAAATATCACAATTTTTAGGCATCTCATAGCTTTTTAAAACGATTGTTGAACTTGCCCGTGAATCATTAAAATACCTAACTTGAAAACGTTTATAGTTGATTTATTTTTTAATTATATGCCAGTAAGGATATAAATAATGATGAATGTTGAATGCAGAGGTCCCACGGTTGATAATGATCAGCTCTCTGGACTGGTGATCGATGAACTGCTCGTCGTTGGCATGGGTTACAAACAACTGAGACCCCACATCATGGTTAACTTCCATCATTTTGTCTCATTAACATTTACCATATTTATGGCTTTAAGTTTGTTTCTCACCAAAACTCTGCAATGTTTTTTTTTATGAAATAATATAGAAAAAATTCAACTCGATCATTCAGTTGTTCGTATGACTGAACGATCGAGTTAAATGATCGAGAAAAAAATAAGTTTTATTTGTTGCTTACAGATTTAAAATATTTTCAGTTGGCTTGTATGCATGGCTTTCACCAACGTTTGATTATTTGAAATAGCTTTCTTGTTTATTCTGTTCACGAATTTTTGACTGGCTTTTTTATTTGCTGATGTGTAATTATGTAAAGTTTTTTATAATTAGAAAAATGAAAACTAACTAATAATGTATTAACAATTTTCCAGGTTATAATAAACCAAGAGTTAATGATATATGAGGTCTTCAAATCGGCTAAGATAGTGAATGGCTGTTTGAACATTCGATTCAAAAAAGTTGACCATCGTCCAGTTGTCAACTTTTACAACAAAATCAATTGTGAAGGTGCATATAAAGTGACTTATTTGAAGAAGTTTGAAAATGTTTCAGGGCTAGATGGAGTAAGTTTTCAGACGTTTAATGGTCCATTATTTTCATGACAATTGTTTTATTTTATTTCCAACGAAAAGGTTTTTCTCTCTGGTCAGCGACCTTACTGGATATTTATGACGTGCAGAGGAATATTGAGAATGCACCCCATGTATATAGACGGTCCCATCATTTGCTTCACGTCCTTCCACAATGTCAATTGCCCTCAGGGCTTTCTTTACTTCAATTTCAAAGTAAACAAATTTTTCTTCTTTTGTCATTTATATTTATTATTCATTTCACCAAATTAAATTTTTGTTTTATTTCAGAATGAACTGCGGATCGCTATGTTACCTTCGCACTTGAATTATGATTCTTGCTGGCCGTTTCGTAAAATTCCCTTGAGAAGCACTCCCTACTATCTCTGCTACCATTTGGAGTCCAAGGTCTCTTTCTTCGACATTTAATCAGCGTTTGTTAATAATGGAAATTAGAAATAATTCATTTGCGTCGATGCTTCTTCATTGTAACTTCGTCTTTCTACCCTTCTCTCCTCCTATCTTTTTTCTTCCTAATGTTAATTTATAAAAGTAGCTGATGACTTAATACAAATTTTATTTTCTATCTACTTGATAGCAAAAATTATTTATTGAAATATATTTAATTTGCCAGCTTTACGTGGTGATAACCAGTCAATCAGTTCCATGTCAAAAGTTAATTAGAATTGTTGGCGATAACGAAAAGGAAATCGAAACCGTTGAGAAAGGTTGGACTTCGAGTTGATTAATTGAACTATTAGAATTTATATAGCGCCCATTAGTGTTACTCGAATTGCGTGTAGTGAGAAGGTTTGAAGTTAAACTTAGAGAAGACTAAAAAGATGCGGATAGGTAAATAGGGAATACGACGTAGGATGGGATGCAATGCTGTTCGCTGTGTGTGGTGAGGAGCTGGAAGCAGTTCTACCTTGTACTCAAGCCGTTCAAGTGCTAAGTGGGCTCGTAAAGGTGCATTGGTGTTCAGTTCGATAACGTTCATGGACATTCTCGAAGCGGCACTGCAAAAGTTTGCCGATCGTCCCAAGACGGACCGGAAGTTAATTGAGTGTTAACAACTTTGATGATGATGGGGATAATGATGATGATACCTATTATAAAATATGTAATATGATTAGGGCAAATATATCATTATCAACATTTCAGGTTCTGAGTGAATTAAAATCAAATTATGTCTCTATATTATTCAATTTGAAATTTAGTTGTAATCAGTTATATCAAATTTATTATAATAATAACGATGATATAATTGTTATTATTATTTATATTCTTTTTGTCGCTAATTTCTCCACAGATGCCCGATTTGTCTATCCCAATATTGAGCAGTTCTCTCTGAAGTTATTCTCGCCGCTCAGTTGGGAGATGATTCCTCAGTGCAGCCACCAGTTCGAGGAGTTTGAGAGGGTGACCTGCATGCAACTCATCAGCTTCAAGTCGGAGGGCACCGCATGTGGCTTGAAGGGTTACATCGTGTGTGGCACGAGTTATGCCTTCACCGAGGACATACCCTGCAAGGGAAAAGTTAGTTCGAATCCTTTTCTAGTTTTTATTTATTTTTTTTTATTATTTATCTTTTAACTTTTGAATGTGTGTGGTCCTTTTCAGTATATTTCGTTCTGTTTAATTTTTTTTCAAAGGTTTGTATGGTCATTTAATTATTACTGCCTGTACATTTTATTATTTTAAAATTATTTTACTTATACAATTTTTTATTTTTATCTTTTTGGGACGTTTTCTGATGAAACTCCTGAACGTTTTAAACATAGAAAAGTTTTTTAACATTCGCGTCATAACTTTTCTCTTTCAAGCTAATTTAAATTTTCAAACAATTTGTTATTCAACGTACATTTCGTTTTGCAAGTAACGTCACACTGACTGCAAGCTTTCTTACGATTCATCTCATTATGCTGTCAGATCTTCCTGGAAAGGGATTTAATAAAAAATTTAAAAATGGCTCTTTCCAAACGCACAATTGGCAAATATTTTTCTTGTCAACAAAAGCGAACAGCAAGATCATCTTTGTTATTTAGGTTCTTCTCTTCCGGCAGAGTCATATTTTTGTTTGCGGTTGTTTTATTTAGCGTTGATGGAATACAATTTTTTTATTTTGATTAAAATTTTGTTTTCATTTGCAGATTTATATCTTTGATGTAATAGAAGTTGTTCCAGAACCTGGTGCACCTTTAACGAAAAATAAGTTGAAGGTTTGCCATTAACTTTTTAATTTCTCTCACTAATTGTTGGATTAAATTAAAATAGTGCTAAAACTCTAATTCATGAGAGGAAGATATTTCTGACTGAATATGTTGCAAATCTTCCAGATTGAATATCAAAAGGAGCAGAAAGGCGGGGTGAGTGCCATAGCGGGCGTTCAGGGTCTTCTAGCAACTGCCATTGGCCAGAAGGTTATTTCGGTTTTCAATACCAATTTTTAACGTTTGAAGTTTTTATTATAATTGATAATATCAATAAGCTTGTGACTGTTTTGCTAAATTTTATGGTGCATATTTTTTAAAAAAATCATTTGTCTCATAATTTACGTTTACACTTATTATTAATTCATTTCTTTAGATGCAATATCTGTCTTTAGCAATATAAGAATAATTTTCGATTCTGTATAAGATTTATTTTTATGTAGTATTGTCTTTTCCAGATTTACATTTGGCAGTTTAAAGATGGAGATTTGAAAGGAGTTGCGTTTATAGATACTCAGATGTATGCGCACTCAATTATCGTCATTAAAAGTCTGCTGCTGGTCGGTGATATCTGCAAAAGCGTAAGTTTATTGCGATTCCAAGAAGAGATGAAAGTTTTATCACTCGTTAGCAAGGTATACGAGTTGACTTTAATGATTTTTTTTTAGAAAATTGTTTTACTTTTTATTGAATATGTAAGATTGAAATTAGGTTCTTTTACGTAGTAAACTTGTTGCTGAATATTTACCAGGATACCAATCTGAGAGAAATTTATTGTTTGGGGTTCCTTGTTAGCAACGAACAGTTAAATTTTATAGGTAGGTTTGCATTTATGATTTTTTTTTGCTAAAAATTATTTTATTAGTGTATTTTAAAATTATCATTTAGACTATTTTTAAATCGTAAATATGTTATGAATGCTTTTGTTTAAATTAGCGAGGAGAAGTTTTCAAAAATGTTTCCGATTTAAATTTGATTGTTGAGCGCGCATCCGTCAATTGCTTGGACGTAGGTACGCAGGGAACTGCTTAGGACGAGTCCCCTCTGCCGCTGAGGTTGTGTTGGTTGGCACTCCACAACGTTCGGCGCATTGCTCTTTTTATTTTCGCTTTACACGTCCGATTCCTTTGTTATAATTTAAATAATAAAACTTTCGTTCCATGTTTTTACATGATTCGCATTTAATGTAAAATCTACAATCCAGAGTGTCGGATATTTTTCATTCTACCTCGGAAAGTGTTATGAATTGGAAAATTTTTTTACATTTTGAAAAAATTTTTCTTCTGGTAGTAGGAACCAAGAGTCGGAGTCGGAAGTTTTTCATCCGACTCAACACCCTGCTATGTTTGAAGCAGATAAGAATTTCATCTTTCAATTAAAACTGCAATTTAACCAGATCTACGTGGCATTTTAATTTGCTAAAATATCTTTTCAACCAGCTTTTGCTTAAGTCTCACTGCAAAGAGTTACAAAGATTTGTCTTACTCAGTTTTTAGAACTAAATAAAAATGAAATAGTTAACTTATAATTTTTATGAATTCTATCAACAGTGAGTGACTCATATAAAAATCTGTCAGTATTTTCCTACATGCCGCAAAGTGAGTTAGTTTTGAAAATTTATTTATTTCATTGGGTTCGTCGATAGAATATCGTCATTAATTTTATGCTGTTGTTATTGTCTTTAGCAAAATTGGGATTTTGAACGGTGAATGCAGTGTGACCCATCGGAGTTACATGACAAAATGTTGTTACACATCTGTTAAATATCTAGAAAGCATGAGGGAGTTTAAAAAGAAATGAATAAGATAGGTCGAAATGTAGGCAACGTTGAAGAATGGTGTTTGTTATCAATAAATAATTAAGAGGTTTAATTTTTCCATTTGCTGGGAATAGTGCGAGTTTGTTGAAATTGTGCAATAAGGTGGACAAAAAAAACTGAATTTAGGATTCGAAAAGAATAGTTCAATTTGAAGGGTTAAAGTGAAGGAATGGTTCAATCTAGATTGGCTGGTTGTTCATTAATTCATCAACGAATGCATGCAACCTAGATTTGGACTGGTGATTCATTAATTCATTAACGAATGCATGCAATCCCGATTGGGGCTGGTTGTTCATTAATTCATTAACGAAAACATTTTTTTGATGCCGTGAAGTGAAAGATAGTCATGGAGGCCAACGTCTTATTCAACAAGCTGACATAAACATTGGCAGTCTGGTTAATTCAATGGTCCGAATAAGGTGTACAAAAAGAAAACCGAACACTGAAAATCTACATTCTACATATTATTGTAAGTTCTTTTTTAATACCGTAATTTTCTTATTACTAATAAATTGTTTGATGGTTTGTGAACTCGTCTTACTTGATTTTAAAATATTAAGATGTTTTTATCTTGAAAACTGTTGACGGTTTAATCTGTTGAGACGTTCATCTTTCGTGATTACCTTTTTCTAATTTAACTAAAAAATTTTGAGGATGAAATGTGTATGTGCATCGTGTGATGTAGATATTACAGCTTTTGTGGCAGTGGCACAATGGTTTAAATATAAGAAGTTTATGTAAGCAGTTCTGCTTTTGCCAGAGCACCATAATAAAGAACTAATAAGTCCATGTTTTTCGTACTTCAAAAATGTTATAAACGTGGCAGTTTTCATTGAAAGAAATAAAGTTTTATGTGCTCCCATATGTTTTAACTTACAAACTCTGGACTGACATTTTTTAAATTACTTTTTTGGGTTTATATTTTTAATGCTAGAGATTAAAAAATTTAGTATGACGAGATCTTAGGTTTTTAAATGCATGTGTCACGTGATAAATATATACTAGTTAATTTTATGTAATGTTCACCATAAATATTTGTTTTTTCTAAATTTTCAATATATCTAAAAATGTTTTATAATTAATTTTCATTTGAGGTACCCTTGATGGCGGCATCGGGTGCATCTTACCGCTTGGTGAGAAAATTTATAGAAGGCTGCTGATGCTGAATTATTTCTTGAGTTCCTGTATACATCACTACGCTGGTCTCGATCCCAGAGTCTACACGTGAGTTTCTGTAATTTGTCGTTGAGTTGGTGAATTTGTTGACATGGTATTTTTTGTGAAGGTCTATGAAGCAGGACTACAGATGTCTCGCCACGTCGCACAAAGTCATCCTCGACGAGCACCTCCTCCTTACGTTCTTCAGCCTAACTTTCCAGGAGAGGCATGAGTTGGCTAAAAAAATTGGGTCCTCCGTAGAACAGGTCAGTTATTTTTTATTAGTATATATTATTATTGTTGTTGTTTTTATTATTGCTATTATTACTTTCTATTGATTCACACTTACAAGCTTTTTATATTTTTCATTGTTGCATCAGACAACAGAAATTTTACCCAAATTTGTTTTAAACACCAACTACATAAATATATTCTCAAATCGGTTACATATATTACCACTTGATATCTGATAACCGTTAGGAACGTAAGGACGTAGGAAAAAAATAGTATTAATATTTCATGTTACTTTGATATATCTAAAACAAGTGATATAGTACGAATGTGCGTCCGTACAGCTTTTGTAGCACAAAATTACCACTAATTAAGAAATTTAAGCACCTCCTCATTTGTTTGAGCCGCATTTTCAGCGGAAAGATTTATTTTATATTTTTCATTAAATATATCATATATTAATATGTTTTTTTTAGATAATGGCTGATCTCGTTGAATTTGATCATTTGACGTCACATTTTTAAAATTTATTTTGGACAATTTTGAAACATTTTTCTATTTAAAAAAAAAATTTCCCTAAAATGCGTTTGTTTTTCAAATTTTAAGATGTCGTGACTCGTGAGTTGGAAACTTTAATGTGTCGTCTCGGGACCTGTCATTTGAACGTGTTCAGTTGTTTTCCCTGTATTTTTTTTGTTTTCTATCTAGTCGTAAAAAGCTAAAACTAGTTTATTGAGTATAGCCACCCTAAATAGTTAAAATAAAATGAACAAATGACAAAAAGCTTCTAGATGAACAAAAAATCAGAACATTGTATACAAAACGTAATGGTATCCTTAGTGATAAAAATTACTAAAAATGTTCGGAACGTTATACAAATTAGAGGTTTAATTTGTAAAATACAAAAATAGAAGCTGTTACAAACAATCTGATAAACCGTAAATCATGGAACGGCGAACAGGATGATTTTTCAAAATAATGTTTTTATAAATTTTTTGAAAGGTAATAAATTTGGAATAATTTAATTGTCACATGGATTTCGTTCCAAGCACTGGGACTACTACAGTTTTAGTCTTGTTGAGTAAATTAAAAAGTACGTTGTTGTGTGATTCCATGCTTAACATTATTTTCTAAATACAATCAATCTTCGTTTTGCGTCCAGAGACCCGGTTTCCGAGGTAGGACGTTGTTTCCTTGCCATCAACTTTTTGCGCCAAATTAGACGATCAGTTGTATCCATTTCATTTAAATTTAGAGCTTTCATGTCTTGCTCGATTGTTTGCGACCAGGACTTCTTTGGACGGCCTTTGGGACGTGTGCCAGGTACTTCAACATCTGCAAGAGAAGTTATGGCACTGTTTTCACTTCGTTTGACATGACCAAACCACAGTAGACGGTGTTGCCGGCATTCGTCCTTTATATCATCTAAACCAGCACGACGCAGGATTTCGGTAGATTTGATGTGGTCCTTCAGACTAATTCGTTGCATCCATCGGAGCATTTTCATGTCGGTTCGGTGAAGTTGTTGTTCCAGTTTGGTTGTCATTGGCCATGTTTCTGCACCATATAACAACACCGGACGTATCACAGATTTATAAAGTCTTGATCGTAGTGGTAGTGGGATATCACGCCGCATCAATATAGAGGCAAGGAGATGCCATTTATTCCAGGCTGCACGTATGCGTGCTCGAAGGACAGCTTCAGCTGTTCCAGTACTATCCAGAACATCCCCTAGATATTGAAACGATGTGACGTTCTCTACTTTAATGGCTTCAAAAACATTGCTATTTCGAATTTGTTGTTGTGGATTGATGCAAGCAGGACAAACAAAATTGGACACTTTAGATAAATTATTTTTGAACAACGTTTGTGACACCACTGGTTACACTGCTGACACTTGATTGAATTGTTACCTACACCAGCTTTACAAACTGAACAGGGCCATCGTCCAGTAGCTGTGAATTGGATGGGTTCACTAGTGTTCATTGCTTTGGTTTTGCTGATGTTGACTTTGAATCCATGATCGGCGAGTCTGGTGTTCCAATCTTCAAACATCTGTGCTGCATTCTGCTCAGACGTGGCTGTTAAAACGATATCATCAGCATATACTAGATTCCAAATGTCACCAGTGCGTATCGGTTTTGTGATTTCTTCCATCACAGTTATAAATAACAGTGGACTGAGAATCGAGCCTTGGTGAACTCCAATGCCGATGTCAAATGCATCTGTGTTTCCAACCGTTGTGCTGACAAGAGTCTTAGTATTTGTATACATTTCCATCACAAGTCGAACAAGATATTCTGGAATGAATTTTCGACGAAGACTCCATCTGACTGCTTCACGGGGAACTCGATCAAATGCTTTTTCAAGGTCTACAAAAATGTGTGATAGCTGTTGATGCTTTGCGAGTTACTTCTCTTGCAGTTGCCGAAGGATGTGAATTGCATCAATTGTTGATTTCCCCGCTAGAAAACCAAATTGATAATTTCCGATTGTGATGCACGACGTTAATCTTCTCTCGATGATTTTTTCAACAATTTTCAGGGAGTGTTCTAGCATACGTATACCCCGATATGATGAACAGTTCAATGGATCACCTTTGCCTTTGTATAGCGGGACTGTCATGCTATAGTTCCATTCAGTCGGCATTGAGCAATTTCTCCAAATTTCACGGCAAAGTTGTAGTAACGTTTGGATACCTGCAGTACCAGATGCTTTGATAATGTCATTTGTGAGTCCTGAGGGCCCTGCTGCCTTTCTATCCTTCATAGCTTTCAGAGCTTCTGTAAGCTCCTCTAAAGTGATGTCTGGAATAGGACCTTCGATGGGTGGAGCGTCAAAGTTAACATTGATGGGATTTGTTTCGTTTAACAGACGATTGAAGTATTCTCTTCACTCAAATTTCTTTTCAGCTATTGCATTTTGTACACTGTCATTCCACCACCAAGTGTCACGTTCATGCTGACGTTTTGTACCAGTTTTCCCACAAACTGTAGTTGCAGCGTTCATTAAAACGGTTTTGTATGTACTCCAATCTGTACTGGCTTGCGATTGGTGGTCTAACTGTGTGGCGACAATCTGTTGAAATTTTTCTCGATGAATATTGCTTTTCAGCTTCCACGTTTTGATTCTCCGAGGCATTTGTTTAGACTTTTGTTTTGACAGTTCGACAACCAGGTCTACCACAAGGAGTCTATGTTGGGCGACACATGATTCGCCAGGTATAACTTTGACGTTTTTGAACAGCCTTCGGTGTGGTTGCTTGACAGCAAAGAAATCAATTTGCGTGGCTGATGGTCCACTTTTGTATGTTATGAGATGTTCCATCCTCTTTCTAAAATATGTGTTTATTAAACAAAACCCGTGACTTTCAGCAAACTCAAGGATGCGGTTGCCATCTTCATTCCGTTTTCCATAGCCAAGACCGCCATGTACGTTGTCAAAACCATCTGTTTTCTCTCCAACGTGGCCATTGAGATCGCCTCCAATCAGGATTGTTTCAGATTTTGGTATTGTTGAGATGGTGTCAGAGAATGCAGTCCAGAAGTCATTTTTCATCTCTTCTGATTCGCCTGTCTGTGGTGCGTATGCAGAAAAAATAATCATTGTTTGCTTTTTTATGCGAAGCTTGATCCACATAAGACGTGAATTAATGCTAGAATCAAAGATAAAGCCTAGACCGCGATTCTTGTGAGAAACATCAAGAGTTTTAGAATCAGGTAAGATAATGGAAGGAATAGTAAAAGTGTTTAGATTCACTAAAACAAATTATTTCAAATTTAGAAGGATTAAGTTAAAAACACAAAGAGACAGATCAAGCGATAATTGAAAAAAGACATAGAAATAGATTATAAAGAACACTATTGAGATTAGATTGAGGAAAAGAAGTATAAATATAAGAATCATCAGCATATAGTTGACTTGTGAAAAAAAAATTATTAATAATACGAGGTAGTTCAAAAGTATAGATAGAAGAGGGCCAAGGATAAAACCCTGAAGTACCCCAAAAGTAAGAGTAGAGAAGTTAGAAGTAGAATTATTGAAAACATCAAAAGAATACCAAAATAGACAAAAATCTGTAATTTGAAAAGAATAATCTAGTAGCCTCAAGAAAATATTATGATCAACAATAGCGAAAGCAGAGAAAAAGGTGAAGAACAAGATGAAGAGTAAGATTACTATTGTCACTATATATTTCAGTGAAGTAAACTCGATAAACCTAATTCTAAGTATATTAGATGAACTCCTTACCTTACATTACTTATTTTATATTTATGTGTGAGCCATAGATGAACCACATAACTAGAATAAATACTTTTATTTGGTATAAATTGAAAAAAAATAAAATCGACATTACCGAAAATAATTAAAAGTTGAAAAAATTGAGGTTCATTGCATATCCCTCCTTCAGCCCATAAGAAAGTGTTGTATATTGTTAAATAGACCTCTTCTCTCTGACAATTTTTTCCATTTTATTCGGTGTTTAGTTTGATCGTTCAATTTAGACAGTAGTATGCTAATGAGTTGTTCGTAGCTGGATTTGGTTTTATATTTTTGTTGGCTGAGAATGTTCCGCAAACGGTTTGGTCACAGATACAAGCAAAGTGCCGACGAAAAAAATTTTTCATGCACAATAAGATTTTTAGATGATTCAGAACCTCTATCTTTCTCCTATCAGGTATGCTCATTCTAAGATATTAATTAATATTTCACATCATATCTGGTCTGCTGCATTTGTAAATTTTAAAAAAGGACATCATGAACATCATACGTTTTTTATTGTATAATAAATATATTGTTATATAATTATATATTATAATGCATAATAAAAAATGCTTTATATTATTGATGTAATAATATTATGTTGTTTAAATTAAATAATATTATTTTATTCTAAATAATTTGATATAATATCATTATAAAAGGAAAAAATTTTAAATTCATCATGAATTCATGAAAGACCTATTTAATAGCAATAATATAATAATAGATAATCACAATTTATTAATTTTAACTTGAGTGGCCTTAAAATAAAATTGATAAAATAAATTATAAAAAAAACCATTTAATTTAGTTTTTAGTTGCATTCACTCTTGAAAATTAATAAGCATGTCTGTGAAAATAATGCTATTGTTTGATTTCTTCCTAGCCATTTGTTGTTCATTTATAATTTTATATATTTTTGGTTTTTTGTATTGGTATATTATGGGCCAGTTTTGCCTAGTGTTGTTTCGATTACTTTTATTCAAGTATTATAGAGCACTCGATACTCTCAAATCCTTTAAAAAATTAATTGATTACATGTTCGACTACTTTTTCGATTTGGAGTATATTTTTTGATTCCAAGTATTTTCGATTCCGAGTATATTTTCGACTTGGAGTATAGATACATAAGCGCATAATTTAAGAACATGGTATGTTAATGGTTAGGCTAAGGCTAGGCATACATGACACATAATAACAACATCACTAATTGTGAGGTGAGCTGGACAATTTTCTTTGTGCTGTAACATAGGTTATGCATAAATTATAAGCTGATCTTTGTGTAAGATAACTTGTGCACGTGCATACATGACACATAATAACCATCACTAATTGTGAGGTGAGGTAATTTTTTGGCACAAAAAGTTGATGGAAAAGAAAACAACGTCCTACCTTGGGGAACCGGGACTCTGGACGCAAAACGAAGATTGATTAACTAATTGTGAGGTGAGCTGGACAATTTTCTTTATGCTATAACATGGGTTATGCATAAATTAAAAGCCGATCTTTGTGTACAGAATTTGGCGTATCACACAGCTTATTCATATATTTGAATTAATTAACTATTTGCTTGGTATATAAGACCTTAACCCTAACCCTGTCTGCTAAAAATGCCAGCACGATTGTATTTCTAAATTTTAACCTTAAAAAAATTAAATAACATTTTAAGAAAAAAACGATTTTATGTAAATATTTTGACATTTTTTAAAATTCTTAATTTTATTCTAGAAGACATTTTTCTATGTAGATCGTTTTTAAGAGAAATATCGAGTTATCAACAAGCTTTTAATTTTCAATTAAATGTTTATTAAATTTGTTAGTGTTGAATAGAACAAATGAATACACAAAATGTAAAACTTGTATTAAAGTGTGAAGTTAATACATAATGGAAAAATTGACTTTAGCTCCCTAATTGCTTTAATCAACATAAATACATTTAAAAATATGGTGCTTTGAATATCCGAAAAAGTAATCGAATATTTTTTTCGATTACTTTTGAAAAAGAATCGAAATAATCGATTATGAAAAAGTAATCGAAAGTTTCATCACTAGTTTTGCCTATATTAAGATTGAAAGTGTTGTGCCCTATAATTTGTAGAAATACAATGAAATTTTAGTTATTTTTAGTCCACAGGCTTTGTCTGGGATAATTTTTTTTTATCATGTAAATTTTTCATACTAGACTGCCAATTTTATATTGTTGCAATGACTTTCAAATATACATTTTATGGAACCAAAACAAAAAGGAGTCAATAAAAAACCAATTTGATTGTTTTTTTAGTGTTTCTTATTATAGATTGAAAATGATGTAGTGATGTCCAGGTAATGTTTTTCTTTTTTGTCATGTGTATCCAATCTTTAACTCAAACGATCGGATTGTTTTGTGGAGCAATGTATTCATTAATGCTAAATTTAAGGGATGCATGAACATGTCATATAGGTTCTTTTGCTGATCATGCCTTATGAGCATATTTAACGATTCAATCAAACTGACCGATAAACGTTTAAACATTTCTATAGAAAGATACAAAAGGACAAGAAATTTTTGATCAAGTTTGTCACTGCTTAGACTTGTTTGAGAAAGATTATTTTGGATTGAGATATATTGATATTGAAAAACAGAGGGTAGGTTTTGTTTTTTTTCAACTTTACAAAATGTCAACTTGTTAAATACTTGATAATTGCGGCTAATGTTATTACCGGATGTAATTTATCATATTTTATATTGTTTATGTTGTATATTGAAAATATAACAGCATTAAATGGAATTTTATTTATTCAATAGGTTTTAATTATTTTTTTTATAGATTTGAACTATTCTATTAAATTTTAAATTTATTAGTATTTTCATCCTTCAATATATTTTTAAAGTTATTGGATTTTTAAATTTTTTAGCACTGGCTTGATTTGCTGAAACCAGTTTACAGACAGCTGAAATGTAACTATATATAAAATTTTATTTATTATTATAAAGTTATATTGCATAATTTTAAAATGTTTTTAATTTAGTTGTTGATCCACTTGTGCTATGCTTTCGAGTGAAATTTTATCCATCAGATCCCACAAAACTGAAAGAAGAAATTACAAGGTTTTTTTTTAATAATTATTGGCTCTTTAATCACTTTTTAAATTTTTTTATTTTTTACGTTTTTCTTTAGGTATTTCTTATTCTTACAACTGAGAAGGGATCTTCATCATGGGAGACTGTTATGTTCACAGAATGATGCCAACCTCCTAGCTGCTTTCATAATACAATGTGAGGCAATTGATTGAGATTCAATTTTGAACAAAGTTTAGCCCGCTTATTTATTTCATTTTAGCTGAAATTGGTGATTATGACAATGAAGAAAGATTAACAAATTATGTTGGTAAATTCAAAATGTTGCCAAAACAGTCACAACGCCAGGAAGAGAAAATAAGAGAACTCCACAAATCTTTTATGTTGGTAAATTTTCTATCTAAATTTGCAGATTTAGAATAGAAAATGTATTTATGGTAAATTTTTTTATATTTGTTAATCCTGATTTTTTTAAATTTGTGTAGCCAACCCCGTGCCTAATTTTTTCAACTTACTGATCCACTCATTACATTTGAAAAATTTGTTCATAAAATTATAATGCAGAGGCCTGACACCCGCTGAAGCAGAGATGAAGTTTCTAATAAAATCGTGCAAACTGGAAACTTATGGTGTTGACCCTCACCCTGTCAAGGTATTTTTTTTATTTTCTCATTTTTATGTCTATAAGAGTTAATTTTTGCATTATGAAACATTGTACTTTATTTATGTTTTAAAATTATATCTTAAAAATTCAATTTTCAGAAGAAATGGTAATATCAAATCAAATAGTTTATTTATTCAAAATCAACCAAAAAAACAATATAAAATGATGAAATAAAATGTTGCTGAAATTTAGATGATTTTCGGGACTGATGTTCGACAAGAAATAATCTTGTGTTAGACTCTCGAGAGCATTTGAAAAATAAAGCAGATTGAATACAATATTAATACACAAACTATATAAAACAGAGACAGAACATTTTTACTACCAATCAATAAAAATGAAAAAAATAAATTTAGTTTAATTGAAGAAGCCACAGTAATTCAATATGTATATATTAAAATGTTTGATGTTTGTATACCACATATGAATATACTGTGTTATTATTATATATATATATATATATATAATTGATGATCATACGCTATGAATCTGTCAAGTACAATTGTTAGATAGTTGAAAATCGGTTCTGACGTTTCTCTAGGCAAATTCAAAAATTCTAACAATTTGGTTTTCAATCCTTCGAATAATAAAAGCAAATGTTTTGATTTCTTTAAAATTTGACGAGTCGGTTGCAATAGAAAACGTCTTGCTGCCTAATTTAGACAAAAGAAGATTCGTACAATGTAAAACTTTAATTAATCGATAATGAACAGCGACATGGTATGAAAATGCAACTTCTGCTGCTGCAGTTTTTCTAGATGCAGGCAAATGATTAATGTGAAGAAACGTTAAAATTTCGGCAGTAGACTTTTTGCTTTCTATATTTTATATTTCTATATTGTTTTTGTGAACTTTTTCAAAATGCTTACATCAGTTGAACAATACTCACAAAATGCAAAATTTTCCTCTCTACTTTTTATAATACCTGGATTGTTAGTTGTTAACTATTCACGATATACACACTTTCGTTTTGACATCGTTTTTTTGATTATTTATTTTACTTGATAAAATTAAAAAATTTAAATAGTGGCCGTTCCCGTATGTCACAACGTGGAGAACTAAACCTGCACCACGCACTGAAGTTAGGCATAAAGTCAAACGTTCATTTTTTATAGAGCGCCATCAAGTTATTTTCAATATATATATATATATTTCAAAAATTCAACACTACTTTCAACATTAGTTTCAACAACTTTAAAGTTGAACAATGTTGAAAGTAGTGTTGAATTTTTGAAATGTTGCGTTAACAACAGTCCGTTACCACAATATATATATATATATATATATATATATATATATATATATATTGATGTTTTCAGGCTAAGTAGCGAAAAAGAGGACACTGATGCAAAAAAAGACTGTTATAATGAAATCGATAAATTAATATTGAAGAAAAACAATTAAATATCTGTACCAAAAAAAGTTTTACTCAATTACAACTATAATAATATTACTGATAATATTTTAAATGATGCCGCTACTACTAAACTGTTGCAGTTACTATTCATACTACTATTAATAATAATATTGCACTGTTAGTTATAATAACTGCCAATAATTTCAATTGAAAAGAACAGATGAGATTCACAAGTTATCAAATCTCATATTTTTCTTAAATTTCAAAATAGTTTTATAAGAATTCTTGTAAACTATCATATGATTCATATTTTTTATTGTACCAAACTGAATGAGGACATTGTGACATTGATAAGGAGATCGAGTATGGACATGTGTTGAGAAGGGATGAAAGGGTCGGGATTAGGCGAGCGTTGGAGTTCGAGGTTGAAGGAGTGGTAGGAAGGGGTCGTCCGCGATTGGGATAGAGAGAGCAGGTGGAGAAGGACAGGGTGAAAGCGGGGTTGCGTGATACTGAGGCGAGTGACAGATGTGGATGGCGTCGAGGGGTATTTCGGTTTCATAATAGGTAGCCAAACGGCAACCCCCGATCTCGGGGAAAATGTCTAAACGTGTGTTGTTGTTGTTCATAGGTTTCATATCTAAAATTTAACAAAAACAGTCGTGGGAAACTTTTTTTAAATAGATTATAAATTTATTTTTAACTCTTTTGAACAAATAGGACGGAAGCGGCAATCTTATTTATTTGGGAATCAATCATTTGGGAATAGTGACCTTTCAGGGGAATAAAAGGACCCGTATTTTTAATTGGTTTGTTGCATTATACAATTACATTGCTTTTACCGTATGTTAGCTCTTATAAAAATAATAATTTGAACAGGTTTCAAATTAATAGAATCACGTTTGAGGGGAAGATGTTCATAGTTCACGTGACAGTTACTGAGGTCTCAACGACTTGCAGTTATAATTTATTCAGGCTTTTTTAATTATTTTATTCAAATTTTAATTTAGATTGTATTTCATATTTTTATGCTAGAACGAAGGAAAGTAGTTTTTTTAAGATACCTTGTTTAAAATCATTTCTTTTGAATTGATGTTTGCATTTTTTATATGTTAATAAAAATTTGTTTCAAAATATCAAGCTATCAAAACAGCAATTGATAAAACAGGCAAGAAATATGCATTCAAATAAATGTAAAAATGAATCCACTAAAATGATAATAAATGAAAAAATTGGAAATACACACGAAACGTAGAAATGCTTGCAAAATACCAGAATATAAAATATCATGATATTTGTAGGATAAGATGAATAGAATTGATGATGGTATAATACTCGAGATATAAAATATATAAATATTAGAAAATTGAGATAGTGACGACAATTTGAGTGTGATGTAGGCTGTAGAACTCAGAAAAAGAATGTTAAAAATTAAATAATGCTTTAACAAACATAGATTATTATTATTATTACTTAAATATTATTTCAATAGCTTTTTGTTTAATATCATGGAGTTTTTTTATTTGACAGAAATGCACTGGGCTTTTTGACTCTGGAAATTGCGTAAATGTAAGTATATTTGATTTTTTAAAATTTTATGGATATTGACGGTTAATATTTATGTAAATCGTTAAACCATTTTACCGACTCATGATGGTTTTCAGCTTTTCATGTAATTTGCTGCTAGCATTTAATATTAACAATTGCAAAACGTTTGAAGAGTTAATTAAATTGATTAATTTGTTAGAAGTTTTGAGTGCGCAATGATTTGATTGTTTCTTATGTGGTTGATTTGTGAAAGAAAGTAATATTTTAAAATGAGAAATATTTCGTGTTTTCTTATGAAATGGTTGATTTCTGCAATAAATAATCATGTCAAAGCTTAAGTTGTTTATAAATTTAATTTTCATATCAACAACATGATGTATATACAAATTATTTTACCCATTACTGCGTACTATATGGGCAGAGGAAGCATATGTTTGGTTACAAAAACCCAACAATTTCTGCATGCAAGCATTTATGGAAGTGTGCTGTTGAACAGCAATACTTCTTCACGTTTGTTTATTTTAAATGCTAATATAGTTAAATTTTTATCAAATAATTTATCATATGTGATTTCTTTTTACACACACACACACCTACAGATATATATATATATATAATTATATAATTAATATATATAAATATATATATATATATATTAAGAAATATCACTGTATTTTCAGCTTTAATTATTTTCTGGTTCAGCTTTTCAATATTTCGTACCATATTTTTATCATTATTTTTCAACTTATTTATGTAGAAAACAAAGGCTTTAACTACTCTTCTATTTATTTTTATTTTATACAAAAAAAGCTTTTTTTTCGGTAATCCTTTATCATTTTCAATGTAACATGTTTGGGAAAGCCAACAGAATGCTGAAACTTTGCTATCGACAAAAAAACTAATAATAATAAGAAATAATAGATCATCACAAAGTGATCCTTCAGAGCCATTAAATTAGGACCGCACAGATATTATTTAGAATATTTATATAGTGCAAATTAAAAAATAAATAAGATTTATCAAAAGCCCTGTCATTAAATCAAATAATGAGTTTTTTGAATAATAATGAAATATGAAATAATAATGAAATATATATAAATAATGAAAATATATCGTAATGTAAATAAATGAGTTTTAGCATTTTCCTAAATGCATCAAATTCGGATCACTTAAATGCCTCGGGAAACTGTTCCAAATTTTGGGACCATGAACAGTAAAATTTCTGGATCATATTCTCAACTGACTATTCTGTGCTGTTAGGTAATTCAATTCATTGGAACGTGGAAATGTCGAATTTGGTGCTCTCGGTGCTACTATCTCTGTCAGATATTTCAATGCCTGGTTTTCGATGCATTTAAAAATCGATACACATGTTTTGAAAATAACACGCTTATTGACTGTCAACCAGTGAAGTTGTTCTAAAATCGGAGATAGGCTGTCGAATCTAAGAGCTTCTATCAATCAATCAATCTTCTTTTAGCGTCCAGAGACCAAGTTCCCCGAGGTAGGACGTTGTTTTCTTTGCCATCAACTTTTTGCGCCAAATTAGACGATCAGTTATATCCATTTCATTTAAATTTAGAGCTTTCATGTCTTGCTCGATTGTTTGCGACCAGGACTTCTTTGGACGGCCTTTGGGACGTGTGCCAGGTACTTCACCATCACATCTGCAAGAGAAGTTATGGCACTGTTTCCACTTCGTTTGACATGACCAAACCACCGTAGACGGTGTTGCCGGCATTCGTCCTTTATATCATCTAAACCAGCACGACGAAGAATTTCGGTAGATTTGATGTGGTCCTTCAGACTAATTCGTTGCATCCATCGGAGCATTTTCATGTCGGTTCGTTGAAGTTGTTGTTTCAGTTTGGTTGTCATTGGCCATGTTTCTGCACCATATAACAACACCGGACGTATCACAGATTTATAAAGTCTTGATCGTAGTGGTAGTGGGATGTCACGCCGCATCAATATAGAGGCAAGGAGATGCCATTTATTCCAGGCTGCACGTATGCGTGCTCGAACGGCAGTTTCAGCTGTTCCAGTACAATCCTGAACATCCCCTAGATATTGAAACGATGTGACTAAGAGCTAAAAGATTAAGACTTATGTAATCTAAGAGCTCCTGAAACTCAATTATCAAATTCGGATCACGATTCTGAATTGACTGTAACTTTTTCATTCATTTCGTTTTTTATTATTATTGCTTTGAATGAAACGTTTTTTAATTTATGCTAATGTTTAGTTTTATTTTTTTATGATTTTAAAGCTGTGTTTCTGTAATTTGTTAATGACTTATTTTTTGGCATGATATCGTTTTTTTAATAAATTGCTTGAATGGGTTTATGATAGGTACATTCAACTTATATAACATAGTGAAAATTTTTTTGACATTCTACACTTTATGGTGAGATAAATTCAGGACTAGAAAAAGGATTTTAATTTCGGTGATTATAGTAACTTTTTTTTCAAATTGTTCATATCAGACTTGATTCAGGAAAAAATGCCCCAAAAATTATATCCGGCGGCGGAGTTTTTAGTAAGGGATCAAGATTCAAATTCAGGTGAAATTATTTTAGTTGACTTATTCAATAAAATATAAAATTCAACTTTTTGCATCTTGCTTTAAAACTTTTTTAATACTACAAGAACAGCTCATGTTGTTATGTAGAGCTTGGGCAATCGTTCTCTGTGCGTCGTTGCTTGTTGTTCGCACTCTACATAGGCTCTAGTTTCGATTCTGCCTCGGCGAAATTTCTAGAAACTCGTTTGTCTTAGCGTTCATTTAGTTTTAAACTGTTCTTATATAATAATTAACGAAAGGTGATTATTTTTGATCACTTTATTGTGTATTTAATGTTTAAAATCAAATTAAATTTTAAGAAACAATACGAGCGAGAAACAACATACACGTAATTAGGAACATAGTTATTATTTTAGATACAAATTATTGTTGTTGTTAGTTTTATTTGCTAGTTTTTAGATAAAACATAGGTTGTTTGAATAAAACGCAAGTATTAGAATAAAACGTAATTTGTTAGAATAAACGTTATGTTAATAAACGCAAGTTTTTTATTATTATTTGAAGGATGACTAAAAAAAAATAAACTTGTGAAAAGGCCACCATTAACTAAAAAATTCTAACTATAAACGTAACAGAAATTTCAAATAAATGCATACACATAAACTCACGCTCTCTCACACACACACAAGCATACATCATACTATTATTCATATCATAATAGTTATGTTTCCTATACCAAACGGTAACAATATAGTCCACGAACCACGGGAGCTCACACACACAAAGAAATGCATCATACTCTTCATATCATCTTCACATCTTCATATCATAATACTGTTATATTTCTAAACGGTAACAATAGAATCACAACTGAAACTAAAAATTCACTCACCAAGAACATTAATATTAATAAGTTGTTAGAATAAACTTAAGTAACTTGAATGAACGCAAGGTACAGGAATGGAATAAGCGTAAGTTGTGAGGTTAAACTTGAATTACATGAATAAACGCAAGTTTCTGCAAAACGCTAAAGCAACCTATTTAAAAAAGCGCCCCTGCTTCTAACTGGTTGCTTCTTACTACTTGCACGATGTGCAGAGTCATTGAATGTTCCGGGCAGGGTTAACTTGCATTCGTTTCTCCTTCCATCTTTCTATTTTATTTATTTGTTCTTATCTTAGCTTATGTATCTATCTTATATATTTCTTTAATGTGTGGTGGGTAATGTTTGAATGTGCAATGTATGCTTTGTTTGAAATTGTCTAAGTGGAATAAAATTATGTAACTTTATACAGCGTTGTATTTCTAATTGCATTCTGTAACTCTTACTCATCTGTTGCCCATAACATTCAACGCGAAAGTTTAAATTATAATCGATCTCTTCTTCCATGCTGATTGCGTTTAAAGTGGATACACCTCAGGAAAGTGACTCGCTGATTCTACGCGTCTGGTAATGGTCCAATAATGTCGATGTGTGTTTGTTCAAATGGTTCTACAACTTCGAAAGGTTTAAAGTTGATTTCTGTTTTTGAGAATGGTCTTTGTCTCTTGACAATATTCTGCAGTTGCTAACATAACTGACAATCCGTGTACATTCCTGGCCACTATACTAATATGGCTTTCAACGTGAAATACAATCTATTCAAATGGTTGATTGTTATAATCAAGCAACAAAATGTTTCTTAAATTATTGGGAAGAAATAATTGTTTTATAACGGGTTCAATTGTTGCTAAAGTTTTGATTGTGCTGGTTGAAGGTGATATAACTTATCACCGAGAATTATTCATACCTCTACAAAAACTAATAATATCATAAACTAAACAACTGATGTAAAACGTTTTAAAACTGACTGTATTAGTAACTGTAATGAAATGGTGAGTTGGCAAGTCTTTGAGGAAGTCTTGTGAACTCACAATGTCCATCGTGTACGCTGAATTGTCTTTTATGAGCTGTTTCAAGATCGAGTGGAAGTTAATAACATCCTGATCGTAAGTCAAGGACAGAAAATATATTTGGTTTGGCGTTAGAAAGACTTTCGACAACATTGTCAAAGGTTGGTAACGGAAAGATTAGTTGCTTGATTGTCTGATTTAAATGGTGATAGCCAACCAAAATTCGTTTAGTGAACTACTACGCTTGCGTTCCTTGGTGATAAAAATTTTTTGATGAAGCCGAGATTTAAGAATTCTGCACATTGCTTTGAAGTTTTCTTTTTGTTATCGGCAATGGCAGGATAAACTTGTTTGAGAATTGGTCGATTGTCGCCGGCATCGATAGTGTGATAAACTAAGTTGGAGCATTCCAAATGTAATAGAGATTTTGCAAAAACATCTTTATTATCTGCATTACATTGCTTTAATAATTTAATATCATCTGTCGAATGTGAATGCGTTTTAATTTCTAGGCCTATGTCATTAGTTACGTTTTCATAACTCACAAGCGAAGTGATGTGGTGAAGATAGTTTTTAAACGTAGATCGAGACTAATGTTGATTGATGGCGTCGTTCACTACCGGCTTTGTGTGTGAATCTGTTCGTTAATTATAATATAAAAACAATTTCAAACTGGGTCAAGTCAAGCAAATTTCTAAGAATTTCCCCGAGAAAGGATCGAAACTCAAGACCACGTAAAATGCAAAGAATTGTCGCCCATGCTCTACGTGATATATAAATTTAAGCGTCCATCAATTCAATTTTGTCAAACATTAACCTTATATAAATTTGTATATAAGCTATTGCATGTAGGACAACGTTGTCAAAATTAGGAGGCATGGAGTGAATTAAAAAAGCGATTTAATATTTTCGAATTAGATTTGGGTCAAAACGTTGTTCTGTGTGGTTTTGTCGGTGGATATCGTTGATCGGCGAAATTATAAATGAAAGTTATTTTAAAAAAGTAATTAGTAATTAAATTAAAAGTATCGACTAAAATATGTTTTAATTATCTTACTAAAGTTACATTCTAATAAGTATTACAATATTTAAATTGAAAAAGATTGAACTAAACTAAATGAACTTAATTTTTACCGGTGAAAAAGTAATGCTATAGCCTATATTCTTAGATGATTTATCAAAACCGCTAGTGACGCAACAAATCATAATTTTTAACAATTTATTTTTAGCATTTTTAATTAATTTCCCCTGAAGTTTGTTTGAATAAAATAAAGATGATCGTCATTTACAATTCAATAAATCCTTTCGAGTTACCACGTGATGAGACAATGTTTTGACCGATATCTAAAAAACGAAGATACTAAGGTGTAAAAATTGCCCTTATGTTCCTTAACAGTAATTAATATATATGACGACTTGAGTTCTAACTTTTGAGTATTCATGTCAGTTTACGAAGGGCAATGTTTTTAAATCCACATGCATTTTTGTAATTAAAATAATACAAAAATAAAACTTATTTTTTCAGTGGCAGATGTGAAAAAGAAACTTATTCCCTTCAATTTTTAGAGAGGGATGAACCAAAATTTGTTAGGTTATGTTTGCTCTACACTTTATTTTTTTAGTTTTCTTAAACAAAATGTTCTATTTAGTTTATTAGAAAGTTTAACAACTCAGAGAAAATGAATCATTGGAGTGTTCTAAGATCAAAGTCTATATCTCGATTATTCTTCTATTTTTATGTGGCTATTTTTCCAATATTCGCTCTTATTTAGCCTGAGTTAGCTTCAATTTCAACCGATCTTTTGCATCTTCTAACCTTTCATATAATAACACTTCAAACGAGCATTCTGGTAATTTCATCGCTATACTCCAACATCGCAAATTTTTTCTCGCATCTTACCGTAGTTAACTTTGTATGTATTTAAACCATCTTATCTTTTCAAGTCACTATATTAATTTTTTAGAAAATATTACGTTACCATGCATTGCTACTATTGTTATTCTTGCTCTTCTACCCATTTCTATCTTTGCCAAATTTTTTCCAACGCAAACTTTATAAGCTTAGTTTATATTACTACACAGTTGTTGATAGCCAAATTTTTATACTTTAATGCCTTTATCTGTGAATTACCGAGGTTTTCAATTCAGTATAAATCGTAAAAAAAACTTGTTTTTCCAATAAATTTTATTGAAGCACCAAGACAAAGTTACGACTTTTCAACCCAAAAAACAGTAACCTCAGTTGCAGCATTCTGTGTTTTTTCAGTATGCCTAGGCATTCGGTGCTGTTTCTGTAACTTGTGTCCACGCATATGATCAAAAAAGACGCTTGGATTTAAAACATTTTTTTAATATTTTTTAAAAATTTTGTGCCGTTTTTGTATTTTCATTAATTATTTGTTTATGGTTATTCAGAACTTCTGCAAACCCCTTGTTTGCCCAAAAGTATAATAGCATGAGATCTGGTTCAGTACCTGCAACATTCAACGCTCTGGGACTCAGTGAAGAGAGTTGTAAGTTTTCAGTAGCCGTCTTGTTCCTTATAATTTTTGAACACTATTGATATGTATTACAGTAGAGAGTTTGAGCAATTACAAGCAGGGAGGACACTGGAAATCACTAGAAGAGTTCTCACACACTTCTTCACCACCGTACAGTTTTTATCCTGATGAACAATGTTACATTCAGTGCAATTCCAACGGTAATCACAATTTTAGATACATTTTGTATAATATGTAATTAATGACTTTTATCTTTTTCATAAAGATGACAATAGGTCATACACAAACTATAAAGAAAATTGCATGAGAAACCAAAATGAACTCAATCGTGAAGTTGCACAACAAAGTTCGGGTTTGAGTGCATTTCAAAACAAAAGTAAAATGAGTTCAGAAAGCTTGAATCAGATAGCAAATAATGGGGTGAATGAAAATTCAATAAATCTCAAAAAGCGGATTAAGTTGAAACATCAACACAGAACTATTTATGATGAATGCATAAATGAGGACACTCAGCTGGAATCGAACTTATGCCCACCATTAAAAAAAGTCGAAATCGCTGCTGAAGAATCTCAACCTTCTAAATCAAATAAAGTTTACAAGAAAAATAAAATTTTTGTTTTATTATTTTGTGGTGCTCTAATTGCTTTTGTTTCATACTTATTTAAACTAAATTATGAATTTTTAAACTGGACGAATATTGTGCAATTGTGAATTGTTTAAAAAAAAATGCACAAATCAATTTTTGACGATTTATGCACGTCAGTCGCACTTTTTTAAGTGGGGCTTAATGTAAAGTCACGATTAACATTCTGTTTGAAATTAAAAGTTAAAATGCCAAAATAAACGATTACATCTTTTTTAGAACAATAAATTTTTTACAGACCTACTCTTGTTTTCTAAAGTCAAAAAATGAAATGTACATCAGGTAATTAAAAATGTAACTAGGCGACCGTAGACGTCGCAATCAGTTTCAAATACTTATGCTGTTATTTCCAAACTTTAATAATACCATCTCTAGAAGAAGTTATTATATAATGTTGTGTAGAGCTACAGACAGTCAGATCTGTAATTACATCTCTGTGCCCTACAGGAACGTACGGTTTAATATGACTTTCTTCGTCAAATGTTGAACTGGGGGGCTGTTTGTGGTACGATTCGTAGATTGCTTGGGTTGCTTCAACCAGTCTTGTATTATAAGAAACTAAAGAATTCACATCTTTAGAGTCTCCCGAAGATCCTGCTACAATAAAAGATTCACTAGGACTGTTTAAATTCCAATATCTAATTCGCATATCAGACCCAGCTGTTATAACATATGATGACGTAGCGTATATACCACTGAAGAAATGTTTTGTCGGGTTTTCATAAGTAAGAATAGCCTTCGGACTGGCCCACAAAACTTTTTGTCTGGCGCCAGTTTCTACGTCCCAAAATAATAATTCGTTGTTGCCATAAGATGAGCTCAAGATTAAAGACGGTGAGCTTTCATCAACAATCAACCTTTTCACTCTGGTTCCTAGTTTTCATAATTTAAAAATGTGATATTATAGGTAGACACATTGTAAACTGTTAACAAAAATGTAATTAAAATTATATTAAAAGCTTACCACTGGGGTTAGGATGTGTGATATTGTTTACTGACAATAGAAATCTCAAATCCCAGCAGCTGTGATTTCCGCTATTTGTCCCACAGACTATCCAATTAGATTTTTTATTTACATCAAAACTAGTAATTAGACCATACTTTGGATCAGTCTGTACCTGCCAAACGTGTTTTTGTGGTGTCCTCAAATCCCAACCAAACATCAACCCATGCACAGTTGCAAGTGCAATTACATTTTCTGACAGATGATCAGTTGGCATCATGTCAACCACCAATCCATTCTTACTCGCGTCAAGATCTTTAGTGAGGATTGCATTTGGTCTACTAGATAAATCTATTTTGAAAACGTGCATCATTCCATTATCTGATGTTGCAATAATATTTGAAGAATTTTGTGCAAAACAAATTGATTTTATTTGACCGGATAATTTGCTGTAAGTCAGCTTGGAACGATTTGTAATACTCTTGCCATCTAATCTACTGCTGTCCCACACCTTCAAAATGTTATCAATTATATTTAATTTAAAACAGTAATGTTATTAATTTTTATATTTAAAATTAATACTTCATTATAATCTCAGATTATAACTCAAAATATATTTCAAGAAAGACATCTTTTACTTCACTAGAACATCTTTATCAACATTTTTGTTCATTAGTCAATTATTTTAAATTTGACCTTTCAAATAGGACTCAATGGTGTGCTTGTCACAAAATATTTGCTCAAAATCCTACGTCGCAAAATAAATTTAGAATTCAATTTTTTTTTAACAACAAATTTAAATGAAAATTTGCGTCTTAGTGGCGACGTGAGCTCATTTTTCATAAGCAGTACATCTTAGTGAATCTAGTAAATCATATATATTCAAAATGTTTGTTTTTATTATCATAAATTTAAACAAAAAATTTTCAAGTTTCTCACATTTAATTGTTGGCTATCAAAATACTTAAGCATGGACAAAGTGTTACGAATCGGTTTCCACATCGTTTTAATAATGTAATATTTACTTTTTTTTAGCAACTTACAATGGGTACTTTAGTATCTACATCAAGTCACCACATCAAGTCACTACACGAAATCACCAAAAGTATGACCATTCTTCATAAACGCAAACATGAAAATTCTTACAAATAATGATTAAATATTTTACAAACCTTAACGCATCCATCATTGGAACAAGAGGCCAAAAGAGGATTTTTTTGACAAACACGGATTCTGTTTATGGCTCCTCTGTGTTCATGTAGATGAGCTACCATATAACCTTGTGGCTTCCAATCCAAATATTTTTTTTTCTCATCGAGCAATGCCCCTTCATTTGAATCCACAAAATATTTTTTTGATTCACAATGCGTTTTATAGTAAGTCTGTATGTCGTCGATGTTATTTTTACACCAGGCAACTATCTGTTTTGAATTATGCGCTTTCAAATTTTCAAGCTCTAGATGTGCTGGGATAAATTGGTTCTGTTCCCCCTTTTCTGTTGCTTCTATAGGTTCTAATGGTTTGTTCAATCCCCCATCAAATGTCTCTACTGGATTGAACATCTGTTTCCAATCTTCATTCATTCGAGAATTAACATGTCTGTTTCCTCTAGTAAGTTTTGTTTTAGTCACTTCGGTCATATCTGAAAATTCTTTATATCTTTGTTCACTTGATGAATATTGTGGCACCTGTCTTTTATTTGAACTTACGGGATGAGTTAACAAATTTACATAACCATTAAATTTTTCTGTAGACATGCCATCTCGTTTGACCATCTCTGATTTTTGTACTTTATTGAGGTTTTCCAAATATTTAGACATTAGCACTAGTGCTTCTTTATCAGATTTTAACATGCCTTGTGATAACTTTTCTAAAAATGTTAGACAGTTATGTTCAGCCACCGTCAGAATGGTTCCAGTAGGATTGTTGTCTTTTAATGATGAAACAAAAAACTCCCAAGGGTATGGACATTTTAATAATTGCTGATAAAGTGGTCTAGATAATGGTGCATTCACTGATTCTATTAACACCAATTCGTCGCTCTGGTAAAAGTAATTTGTAAAATATTTGGAGACCAAAGGTATCACGTAACTGTAGACATCAGACAATTCCATTTTTTCGGCAACTACTCCAATCAAGCCTATTACTTTTCTTTGAATCCAAATATTTGGATGAAGGACTAAGCAAATTGTTTCGTGAAATAAATCTATCAACACTTTCTTTGGCATTAAATTTAATTTAATTAAACAACAAAAACTGGAAATGGTCTTTATGACAACAAACTCTTCAGGATCTGATATACCTTGTTGGATCAAAGGTTTTAAAATGCTAGAACACTGCCAGCCTAAATATGCAGCCACGCCAACCATATTATCAAAAAAAAGCTCCCTTAATTGCCAATCTTGTTTATCGTTCAAAAATGTTATCATATGGGAAAACAAAACATCATTAGCTCTCTTCCTACCAAAAAAAATACATAGCTTAATTATTCCGTTTTCCAGCAAAGCTTTTTTTACGTTATTTTCTTTATCCCCTAGTAATGACACTACATTTTGTTGTATAACATCGTGCAGTGTTGTTAACTCCGAATCATATGAAGAAACTTTTTGAGCAGAAAAGTCGTGCAACTCTGACGTTAATTTATGCTTCTGCTGATTAACTGATGTTTTCTTATTACTGTGCAACTGAATTAACTCAAGAAATCTAACAGCCAGCTCTGCTATGCAGGCTATATTTTTTGCAAATTCAATTCTGACCGCTGATTCTTTATCAGTCAACAGATAATTGGTTGAAAGAAATATATAATCTGTGAATATACTGATGTTATCAGGGGGGACAAAGCGTACTTTTGAAAGACAATGAACTAGAGTACGGATGGTTTCGCACTTGACTAAAAAAAAATTATCATGTACAAAAAATAAAACATATGGTAAAATTCTGTCTAAAATGATTTCTGATGGCAGATGGTTAGAAAACAATTTCAATAAATTCAAGGCAATTAATTTAGAATTACTTAAAACAAGTTTTTGAATACTTGACGTTACGACTGATAATATTATCAACAGGTTTTCAATTATGTTTGAATCTGAAATGATGTTCAAGTCTGAATTTTTGTCTGTCTCAACTACTAGTTTTTGCTTTATCAAGTCAATATCTCTGTGCAAACGAAGAATTCTCTCATCAGCATACAGCAATGGATAGCATGCAAATCTTTGACAGTAAGGTTGTAAAAAAGTATAGAAACAATCTGGAAATATTTTTCTTTTGAACATTTTTAAATATTCATCTGCACTGAGTCTAAGCGATGGATCTTTCTGAATCATATGTTCAACTAGCTTTTTTATTTCAGCATCATCAATCAAATCTATAGATTCTCTTGGATAGTAATCACCTGATCGATATGATAATAACTGACTTAAATCAAATGGCTTGGCACCATCACTAAAAAGTTCAATCAGCACGCAACCAGTTGAAAAAATATCCATTGAGGGCAAAAGTTCATCTGTTTTAGTGCTTTCAAGAGTTGTTTCAACAGGGTCAGTGAGCATTTCATCAGATGGTCCATCATCGTCAAACCTTTCCGGTGCAATGTAACATGTTCTTCTACGAGAAGTATCAAAATAAAAAGAAAATTCTGTTGGATTATTGTCAGGCAAATAAACCGGCTTATAACTAGCAAAATCCGTTAACGAAACCCAATTCCAGCTAGTAATCATAACGTTTTCAGATTTTATGTCACCATGATAAATATTAAGTTTATGACATTGATTAATTGCCGTAAGAAGTAAAAAAGCAATCCACTTTTTTTCAATCGAACATAAAAATGGATGTGTGCTTAAGCGATCATAGAGACTATACTGAATGTACTGTCTGAAAAGCATAATGGCTTTATCTGATTGAAATATTCGTTGATAAGGTAAACAATTAAATGATAAACTAAGACAGCTTTGAATATTCCAAACTTGCTCTTTGTAAGATTCTAAGAGAATAGCAGGATCTGGCAGTACAAATACTTTTATCACAACCAAGCCCTCTTTACTTCTCGATTTTGCTACTTTGAAGAACCTGGTACTTCCAAGATTTTCAACAAAATCAAAATCAGATAAATCATTTAAATATTGTTCAACAGGCCAAATTTGGGAAGGAACTGTTGTTGTTAGTTGATTTCCCATTTTTCTTCAGTTTAAATGAACTGGAAATAGTTAAATAACATTGATATTGTTAATTATTTACATCAGTTTTGTGACAAAAACTTATTTCATTCAAAAAGTCTGAGAAACAAAAAAAATATAAATAGAATAAAAATTTTTTTAGATTAATCAAGCTATTATTACTATTACTATTGGCTAGAACAAATTTAATGTATTTTTAAAGAAAACTACGCTTCAGGATTAATTCAAATTTAAATCATAAAATTTTTATTATGTTATAACCTTAGAAACTGACATGCCATGACATGACATCTTCAAAGTTTTTTTGCACAAAAAATTTTGAAAATCTTTTACAAAAAACAATACTTGTGAAATTATTAAAATTTGCACCCTATACATATGAATTTGTAACAGATAAACCCTAAAATTTTTACAGGCCTAATGATTAGTAAAGTTTTTATTCACAAAAAACTGTTTGTATGGTTATTAGCATTAAACATGAAAAGTTGCATTAACAAAAACTGACCTTTAATTTTTTTTAATTTTTACCAAATGTACTCATACATGATGTTAATAATCCCGAAAGATTTCACAGGCCCTGCCTAGATTATTACTTTGTGAGTTATTTGAGTTTTATTATTTAACAGTCATATTAAAATCCTTGGCTTAAAAAATCCTAGGCTAGAATAAATTTAATATGTATTTTAAAAAAACAACGCCTCAGAATTCAAAAGATCATAATAATTATAATCTTGAAAACTGACATGCCTTAGCTTAGTAGATGATTAGTTAAATTTTTATTCAGTAAAAACCATTTTAGTAAATAAAAACCATTTGACATGCCTTAGCTTAGATGATTAGTTAAATTTTTATTCAGTAAAAACCATTTTAGTAAAAACCATTTGACATGCCTTAGCTTAGATGATTAGTTAAATTTTTATTCAGTAAAAACCATTTTTCACAATGTTTTGCACTAAATCTCCGAAAAATTTTTACATAAAACTATGCTTCTGAAATTGATAAAATTTGCAATTTATACACATAGATGTGTGATTAATAAACCCTGAAATTTTTACAAACCTCAGATAATTAGTAAAATTTTTATTCCTAAAATCAAAACCGTTTTTATGGTTATTGGCATTTAAACATGAAAAATTGTTTTAATAAAAACTGAGCTTCAATTTTTTTTATTTTTCAACCAGATGTAATTGGATAAACCCTGAAAATTTCACTAGACCTAGATTATTACTGTGTGAGTTATTTGAGTTTTGGTCACTGAAATCATTGGCTGTAGAATCCTGTTGCGGTTGCGTTTGATGATGAGAACACCGAAGCAGAAGAGCAGTGAGCGGGAGAAGAAAAGAATAGTATTCGTTTGGATAGGCTGGACACGTGTTTCGTTCCTACTGGGGACTCACCAGCAGCCCGAATACCTATCAGAATAGTTATTGCAGTTTCTTATAAAGCCTGCACAAATCAACTCCTTATTTCGTGGTGTTTTATTTATTATGCTTTTTAATCGCTAGGATTTTCAATCCGACAATACTTTCCCACCAGATCGTCGCAGCGTGTGTTGGCGAACGTGATGGATGAGGTTGCATTGCCGGTTGTTGTTATATCGAGGAAAGATCTGCATTGGAGTGGAAACTCTCGTTGCTTGTTTTTCCTCGATCACGTCGGGGAACCAATTTGTTGCGGTTGCGTTTGATGATGAGAACACTGAACCAGAACAGCAGTGAGCGGGAGAAGAAAAGAATAGTATTCGTTTGGATAGGCTGGACACGTGTTTCGTCCCTACCGGGGACTCATCAGCAGCCCGAATACCTATCAGAATAGTTATCGCAGTTTCGTATAAAGCCCGCACAAATCAACTCCTTATTTCATGGTGTTTTATTTATTATGCTTTTTAATCGCTAGGAATACCTATCGGAATAGTTATTGCAGTTTCTTATAAAGCCCGCACAAATCAACTCCTTATTTCGTGGTGTTTTATTTATTAAGCTTTTTAATCCGACAATCCTTGACTAACTTAGTGCACCTTTTCTGGTCAGCCTAATAATTTAATCTTCTTATGGTAGTATTCTTGGCAATCTATTATTAAAAAATATGTATGAAAAAAAATTTATTACAAACCAGCAAAAAATTAAGCAAGCTTTGGGCAATAAGGGTGATTCAGCTTGACAATTATAAATTATTAGATTAGAGATAAGTTTTATAAACTCCAACTTACATTAATTTAACAGTTTAACTCAATAACAGATAGCGGAATTGTTAAATATTGAAATAAAAACAAAACAAAACAGTTTATTCATTTATTTACAAAAGAGTTAGACAAGTTGCACCAACAGTAGTACGCCGATAATAAACAATGGTAGTCTGAAGTTAGCCGTAAAAACTGACCTATATATTATAATATTATAATTATAAGCTGAGAGATCGTCAAAAAGAAAAAACCTATCTGATTTATACTTTTATGTATATTATGTATATGTATCTGCTTATCGTGCTGGTTAATATACATCAGATACATATATATATATATAAATAAAGATATATATATATATATATATATATATATATATATTTATTTTTTTTTTTACAATATTCTATAAATTCTACCGAATGTTTGGCGATAATATGTTTGTAGTTCGTTTTTTCAATTTTTCTCACTAAAGTTTTTTGGTGAACGTTTAGTTTATTAAAATTCAAAATAAACTTATTTTCCAAATTCATGCTGCAAATGAATCATCATCAGTTCTTTCTGCTGTTTATATAGGGAAATATTGACTTTGTCAAAATGAACTTAGATGGAAATTAGGTGTCAGGTTTCTTTATTGGCTGGTCATCTTCTTTGGTCTCATTTTCTTCATCGATAGCATCATATTCTTCTTTGTCACTATTTACAATGCTAGTTTTTATTACTTCTTTGTTTTCGTTGTTGGTTAAGCGCCGAGTTGGAAGTGAGGTTGTCATTTTTTGTTGTATATTTATTTTTGGTTTATTGATGTCAATTAGGACTGTTCAGCAATTTTAAGATGCGTGTAGTTGCTGTTCCGGTATATTACTTTGGTGTTACTGTCGATGATTTCACGGCTAATAGTGATTAAGTGTGTTGAGTCCAAATGAGATTTGATAGCACCACTCTGTTTATGCATCGTAAGCCTTCTAGTCAATGAGGTAGTAGTAATCCCGATATATGAGTCATGTTGTTTATTTTTTATTTTTTTATTTTTTTTTTATTTTACAAATTTTATTAACCACAAAAAAATGGCTTGGAGACCATACAAGCTTATTAAGCTTTATAGGCCACCAAAAGGAAAAAACAGAAACAATTTAAAAAATTATCAAGCGCATATATGATAACATAATTTGTTCGTTCAACTGTTTGACACAAAAGCATAGCACACTGCACATAAAGTAAACGTTCGTAAAACAAAATGATAATGAAATGAAACTAAAATTTGACCCTTGTAGTGTTATCTAAAATGTGTAAGATCATACAACAAATATATAATTCAAACTAAGGCCAATAAATAAATACTAACATATCATGACATGCATTCAAAAAATAACAGCAATATAATTAAAATGTTCAATAATATGATTTTGACTGAACAAACAACAAATTGAATTCAAACTAAGTCCAAGAATAAATATCAACATACATTCAAGACATACATTCAAAAACCAACAGCAATAAACTCAAAAATGTTTAATCATATTATATCAGCATAATAAATTTGAAATAACGAAGATTATTTGGAGACATATAATAATATTTTATTAGAAAAATCAGATATGCTATTTAATAATTTAAACTCTGACGGTAATCTATTCCAAAGTGAAACCCCGGAGGAGAAAACAGATAATTTATAAATTACTAATCTAGGGTAAGGTTGAACATAATCATTCATTTGTCTTAAAACACGTAACTTTTTATCAGGAGCTTTAAAATGAATGGACAAATTAAGAGGCAATAAATTTTTATATAATTTAAACATAAATTTTAACAGACCAAAATTATATATTTGTTTAATTGTTAATAGATTAGCTTCTTGGTAAAAACTTGAGACATGGTCATACTTTTTCAAGAAAAAAAGACATCTAACAAAACTATTATAGGCCAATCTCAAAGAATTAAGATGGGTCGTGCAACTATTACCCCATAACATTACGCCATATGTTAAATACAGATAAATTAAACTGTAATATAATTTTTTAGTGAGTTCAAAACTAAGCTTGAACCTCAATTTACGAATGATACTGGTAATTTTAGAAATTTTACTTGATATGTGCATTAAATGATTTAACCATGACAAATTGTCTGTAATTACAAAACCTAAAAATTTATTTGTTATACACTCTTTCAATACGGTTATTATCAATTTTAATAGAAATCCCTAAATTATTAGTAACAATCTTAGAATCAAAAATCATATAGTTTGTTTTTTTATAATTTATATTTAAGTCATTTGATTTAAACCAACTGCATATTTTTTCCATTTCAGTGTTAAATGTATTGACCACAGTATTAATGTCTTTCCCAGAACATAAAATAGTGGTATCATCAGCAAACAATATACTTTCAAGTGATTTACTGACAGTGGATAAATCATTTATAAAAATTAAAAATAACAAAGGCCCCAAAACTGAGCCTTGCGGGACACAAAATTTAATCAAAACATTCGATGACCGATGATTACCCAAAGCTACATATTGTTTACGATTTGATAGATAACTTTCAAACCATCTGTGTTGTACTCCACGAATACCAAGAGAATATAATTTCCTTAACAATAACGCATGATTGATAGAATCAAACGCTTTAGATAGATCTAATAATAACCCAATAGTTATCGACTTATCTTCCATTTTACTAAGAATTCTCTCAACAAGATCTAACAACGCCAACTCAGTAGATCTACCTTTTCTAAATCCATATTGAGAATCATTGAAAAATTTGATATGTTTCAAATAATTATTTAAACGATTTGACATGATTTTTTCTAAGATTTTTGACA